TTTACATGCATCAAACTATGGTCATTTGTAATTTTTTTAGCCATTGATCCTACAGTACAGAACCTCTTATCCGGAAATCAGAAAGAAATTCGATACATTTTCCCGCCATTTAAAAAAAAATAAATTATTTTTTCCTCAAAAGATTTCAGATTTCTTTCTTTTTAAAAAATGTTTGCCATTTCAGAAAAAATCATTAGTTCCCTACACTGTCAAAAGAAGTAAGAGTTTTTAAAAATTATTCTTAAGATATATTTTTTAGTCGAGTTTGACAATAAAAAAAAAAAAACGGTTTTTTGTAGCGATTCAGAAAACCGGAAACAGTTATCCGGAATAGCGATGGTCCCGAATAATCGGTTCTCTACTGTATTTGTTGTTTCTAATAACATTTGGTCAAGCCAAGCTAACCAGCCCCTGGCCATCTGTGAATCAGGTCAAGAAGGTACACCTTTCGTATGACCAAAGAGAGTATCACCATCACAAGGGTGTAAGTACGTCTTAGAATCTCTCGCATGGAAGGCAGCACCACTCATTCGTGAGGCTACATCCTCAATTTCGACATTGATCTGGAGAAAATTCCCTACCTCTCCAAATTCCTGTAGCCATGGTACTTAAAATTCCTAACATTTTACTAGCATCAGAAAAAGTACCTAGTTCTAGTACTTGGCAAATCTTAGGGGAATTGAGGATCAAACCGCAGCCTCTCCAGACCAGAGTTCAGTTCTCTAAGCACTGATTTTGAAATACACAAGATCACATATTTTTCTCATATAAGATACTTTTTTTTAAGTGATTATTATTTCATAGTGGTCTCAGACCAGTAGTCCGCCAATTATTTTAAAAGTTGAGTTAGTCAAACACAAAAAATGAATGGATAGAATTTGTTTATAATACATATTTAATCAACCCCATATAATAATTAAATAACCAACTCTTAACTACCTAACCCTTTCTCTTATGCTCCATTTTTTGTCTGAGGAGTCAAAACTGAACTCAATAAACTATCAATTTGAAGAAAAAGCGCATATTAATTTATTATCTCTCAGCATTCATAACTTTCGGAAGTTCAATTAAAGTTGTTTATTTGAATTCATTGCAATCTTAGTTATTGTTTGGCTTTGAGAAGAATTTCTTCAGACTAAAAGTTTAGCTGCCTTCTGGTATAGTAACAAGATAAAACTATTTACCCCCATATAACTATATTACCCGCAGAAACCCTCCTTAAATTTCTACTCAGATAATGTAGCATTATGATGGAGGGAAAGTTTTACAATTGAAATTAAAATGTTTATATTTTAGGAACAGTGGACCTTAAAACTGTAAGAACCTAATTTATTATTAAGATATTCAAGGTATTTTATATGCAAAGTTTTATAAAAAATATAAGAACTTGCGGGATCAGTTCCACTCACTTTAAGAGTGTTGGTTGTTTAAAATAAAAGGTGAGCTTTTTATTCATTCAATCTAAAATTAGAACATAATATTCTTATCACTATTTTAAATATATCCCTGAAATTTTGAAAAGTTTTAAAGCAACATTATTTTTTCATAACTTTTCACTAATTTTTTAAATCTAAATTCGTAGTTTCAGCAATAACATATCACAAGGGAATTTTCAGACTATCAAATACTTACGGTTCGTTGGCAAAATTTTGCCCAAGATAAATAGCTTCAAAATATTTTTTACGACTATTTCGATAGTTTCTTATAGTGAGAATCCTAATTTTTACTTTTCTGTTTACAAAAATGTCATTTAATTAACATTCTACAATCATTGATTATTATTAATATTTTGAATTATTGATTGAAGTAAAATTATCTTTAACTTTACAAAGAAATACAATTTCCTATTACCCTTATAAAATTTTGAATCACTTTGTGCATGGCCCACCAGTTGAACATATTAATTTACTTAATTTCAGATTCGCTAATCTTTAAGAAAATCAGTCTGAAAATGCAGTTAACAATAAAATTTAAAAAAAAAAAAAAAACAATTTTAAAGAAAATAGGATAGCCAGGCGCTGAAAATTACTGTCTTTACCCAGACAAGGCGAACGAAAAAAATATAAACGCCTGCTTACCTTTATTTTAAGCTAACACTTGTCATTCATATTGTCTAAAACAGTTGCTCCCTACTAAATCTTTTGATAGAACCCAGACTTTAACAAGACAATTTGAACGTACTAACCAATTAAAGACTGTTAAATTTTTAAAATATTTCAAAAAGAGATCAATTTTTTTCATAATTAACAGTTGAATTCACAACCCTGTAGCTGAAAATGAATAAGATAGCTGTATTATGATTTTCGTTGATTTGTAAATTTAAAAAAAAACCGCCATAAAATTTTTTTTTGGCGTGCTGTTGAGACAGCCAAGGTCTGCAAAGGGCTGTTGCGCTCCTAAAGAAGAAGAAACATTTTTTTGTTAACACGTTGACTTGAAAAAGCGCAAAAGAAAATACTATTTTATAAATACACGTCTTAAAATGCATTCCATAAATTCGAATTTTCTCTCTTTATTTTACTTCAATTTCATAAAGGCATAAATACATTTAGAGGTTTCAAAATGCCTAAAGAAACTGGTTTAAAAACTAAGTTTAAGTCCTAGAACCTCTAACTCTTACACAAAACACCACACTTATTTAATTTCCAACAAAAAAAATCCTTGTTTAAAAAACTATTACTGCAAAATATTAATGAAGACAATAGCTATTTGTTATGCTGTGAATGCAGAAGACTTATTTATCCAAAAGAATTAGCTTCTACGTAAAAGAAAAATTAAGCATTAAAGCAAATACACCGTAGCCTGTTCTTTGATTTAAAATTAGCTTGAGAATTAAATATTTTATTCTTATCTTGCATCAATTCTCATGGCAGAGTTTGAGATGGGAACAGTTAAGTTGCATGCGGCACTAATTAAACTTAAAAAAATGCCTTAAGAATAAGACTGTATGTATAGTGAATCTCAAAGTAAAATAAGTACGACTACACAACTCAAGTACATTATAACACAGCTCTTATAACTTGATAGACTTGTTTCACGTATTTTGAAAAGTAAACTGTTTTTTGCCTGCATCAGTTTAATTCTTGGGAAAGAGGGAACTTAATTGTTTTTACAATTTAAAAAAAAAAAAAACTCATTGTGGTGCTCACTTGTGGATTTCAAGATCAACACATAAAAACTTCTAAAAATAACAAGGCCTTAAAAAATAATTAATATTCTCTCACACCAATATTAAATTGAAGCTAGTTATCAAATAATTTAGACTGCTCCTCAATTCATATTTTAAAAATTAGATGATAGACATCAATTTCGAAACTACTTAACTACAAAACCTATAAGAATTGCCACAGATTTCTTAATCTATCACTATAATTTAAAAAAGGAAAATTAATGAGTTTTCTATTAAAGGACAATAAATAAAATGTTCAAAACAAGAGCTGCCTGAACGAAGTATATAATTATTGGCTTATCCGAAATTTTTTAATTAGTTGAAATTTAAGGATCACGTAATATAATGAACATATATGTATTACTATGCATCACATAATCATAAAATATATATGAATGAGCTTTTGTTTGAATTTTCACCCCCCCCCAAAAGAAATGTTTTTAATTGTTGAAAATTAATATATGCTCTACCACACATTTGCAAATGCAAAATATTTTTGTCAGCAAGTAGCTTTTGCTTGACCTATTGGCAGTGACTTCCCTGCAATGCACCCAAGTTTTATCTTAAAACTAGCTGCTTTGAACTTACCCAGACAGCTAATTTACTGATATAAAATGTTTGATTGATCAGTCACTGCATAACTGGAAGTCCCCCCCCCCATCGAAAGCTAGAACTTAAATTTTGTAATTAACGAAGAACGCAATAAAAGTATTTTTAGTAGAAATACACGGATCATATCTATTCTGTTATTTGATACATTCTGTGGTAGATCAATCAAATCTACTTAGCCATTGGAAGTAATAGTTTAAATAACCACTATGTGGAAAGCAGTCTACAAGGATCGACTTCATCCAAAAAATTGGTTTGAGCCGATCATTAACATATTTACAAAATAACCTATTCAAAACAATATATCTGAATGCTATCTTACATGAAAATAAGGTCATTTTCGATGTACGATTAAAGGACTTTACACAGTATGAGACTCCTGCCCCTCTGAATGACAAGGACCTTGATCAGTAAATCTAAGAAAAGCATATACAGTCAAACCCCACTATAGTGAACCTTCAAGGGACCGAAATTTCGGTTCACTATATCCGTTAAGCAGGCAATTTCACCAATGGTTCCCAAACTCCTCCCTTCTATTACATTATATTCATATAAATGACTGAAAAATATTATGTAGTAGCAAAAAATGTATTATTTTTCATCACTCTTCGTCTTGCGCACAAATAAAAATTAGTAATCTTTAGCTAATGAGCAATCCTCTACATCAGATATGGAAACACTTCCCGACTCTCAGATAATTTTTCCTGAATTTCTGGTACTCCGCTTTTTAAACCTGTCTAACCAGCCATTCGAGCACATAAAAGTAGTTTCTACAGATGGTTTTAAAAATCGCTATATGTATTTATTTTGAAGTAGAATTTCAAAATTATTACAAAGAAAAAAAAAAAAAAAAAAAAAAAAAAAAAAAAAAANAAAAAAAAAAAAAAAAAAAAAAAAAAAAAAAAAAAAAAAAAAGGGGGGGGGGAATCAGCCAAAGACAGAAAAAAGTTCATTATATTCAACTTCCTCACTTTTTTGGTTCACTATATCCACTAAAAATAACATTATACGTGTATAGCAAGGCACAGGACCGTGTCTTTCGTTCATTATAAGCCGTGTTCACCAAAGCGGGGTTTGACTGTACTTTTTGCCACAATTCTTCTTTAACGGCCAGAAGTGCACAAATCAAAGCAGCACAACTTTTTTGAGTGTTTGCATCCAAAATTATAAACTTTTAATAAAACATAACAGCCAATATTTTTTCACAATCTTTATTTTTTTAAACAAAATTTCAATTTATATGATTCCAATCTGCAAAGAAAAGAAAAAAATTAGTTTTTATATGACATTGTTAAAACACAATTAGTTGATCAAGCAAAAGAAAAAAAATTATGCTAACTCTTAAAATATCTAAAATATTTTGGACATGAGAAATTCATGTAAAAGACAAAAAATATAAAACACTAATTAAGAACTATAAATTTAACCTCATAATGGTTTTATAATTGAGTCTATACAATATATGTATTTATTTTTAATTTTTTTTTTGGACAAATAGTAAATGAATGTTTAATGAGCACAGGCACCTAGTTTAAAATGAACTACCTCTAACCACAGTACAAGTAGTTTGGTACCATTATCCGGTCTATAGATTAGATTTCAAGAAATACCGATTAAATTTTCTTGATGAATTACTTATGAATGAGCATGCAAAAGAGGGTGAAACATCACCCCATCATATCAATATTTGAGATTGTAAAATGCTTTGCTCTAACAATTTTATAATCTTTAGAAAATGTATAACTTTTATTCTGTGTGATTTTTATTCCCAGTTCAACATGTTTTTGTAGTTTCAAATATGCCATTCAATTAAAATTAATTAAAAAAATTATACTATACAATACAGACAGACTTACACTACCTATTTGAAATTCTATTAATGCTATATAAAAAAATTATCACGAAAGAAATGATACTTGCAGATTTAACATTAATCTTGTTTAAGAGAGGGAAAAAAAAAAAAAAAAAAAAAACAATTTGAGTAAAATTTTTAAGATATTAAGGTTTAAAATTCTTAAATAATTTTAAATATGAAATAACAAAGAAAAGAAATTTACTTTATTGGCTACATCAAGTGCATCATAATCAGGAGCTAAACGCACATAGGCCTTTTTCTGTCCATCGGGCCTGCAATAAAATTATAATGGCATAAGTTACCAGTTCAACAGTAAAAGAATTCAAAACTTATCAGAATAAAAAAATTATTCACATGCTTTAACAAACAAATGCATATAGAATCATTGACATTGATAATTTAAATAAGTTTGACCAACACAGCCAGATTCCTAAGGCAGTTTAAATTTGAAAGAAAGGGGAGTTAGGTTTTGGCAGCTATTAACAGATCAAAGTTAATAAAGACAAAAAAAAAAAAAAAAAACACCAAAAACTTTTCAGAACAAAAGGATTATTAACTTGTTTTAAATAAAAAATTAAGAGCTAACTACAGTATAATCTGCAACTGCTGATAATTAAGTTGTAAGAAAGCCACGATGTTGCTCCTAACAACTGCCACTGAATCAAGTCTTCTGCTATGACTTAACTCACGGTTGCTTACAACACTGCCTCATCCTGACACACTCAGAGATACCTAACTTAGACGGAATAGTATTGTTATTGAAGACCACTGGAAAGTAGCGAAACGCCCCTCGACCAGAGATGGATCCTCCCGACGGTCTGCAACCAATAATCGGATACCATTAACAGTGTAGTTGCAAAAGTTGGTATTTTGCTTGATCATGCATATAGTTTTTAGCTAGTCGTAGGTAATAGAAGAGCTTTCAATACAGGGCGCTTTTGCGAGTTTTCATCCCCAACGGAATATCGCCGAATAGCACCTATTCGGAATTCATATTATGCTAAATTATACAAGTCTTGATTTTTTTAATAACAGGCATGTGTGCAAAAACCTTTTACTAATTTGTTAGAAACTTTTTTTATCAATCAATAAACTTAATAACTAATAATGTTGAACTTTAAATTAGATGCAGGGGTGACTGTCAGCCCACATCAAAATTCCGGAAAATTTCTTGAGTTAAAAAAAGTTTAAATTGAAAAAAATTTAAACTAAGTTTTTCCCCCCTTTCTCAACATTTCTTAGTTTACTTAAAATATTTTCAAAATTTTACACATACCTATGATGACCTGGAGAAGAAATTAAAATTTACAAATGTGTCTTTCTTTCTCGAGTTCATGATTATAACAACTATTTACAGATAAAAAATGAATATTAATCATGAATATAAGCTTATAAAGTATAGCTCTGGCTCTCCCTCACAACCAAATAAAATAAAGTGTTTAAGTTCCACCCTTGAAAATTTGATTTCTAGAAACTTCCGTGATCAATGATTTTCTGAAACGTCTGGACCTTCGATCTCCAGAAACTTCCGGATCACTGTTAGCGAAAAGTCTGGAAATCTGGAGCACTATCAGCCCTGTAGATGCAAACATACAAATATTTGGTATTTAGCCTATGCTGCTGAAAGCAGAATATTAATTTCGGATTAACAAAGCATCTGACGAAGGCAAAACTTAGTTCATCTACACCTGTCTTTCTCTCTTGGTTTATTCGTTTAACAAAACGATAAGGGAGATAAACAAATTTGTGAAGGGTCCATTTTTATGAAAAGATATTTTGTGAAGAGTTCGTTAACGGACCCAAATTTCTTCTAACCAGATCCATGTAGACTGTAATATATTTTGGTATCCAATAAAATGGAAAAATTAAACAAATAATTGAGAGAAAAAAATTCAAGACGTCACATAAAATTATTAAAAGAAATTAAGATTTGACTATTAAAGAAATTTTAACAACTATTTGTTAAGAAAAAATATACCTGATTAAAGTATTAACTTTCTGTACATCTATGTTGTATAATTTTTTGACAGCATTTCTAATTTGAGGCTTGTTAGCTCTCTTATGCACAATAAACACTAGTGTGTTGTTGTCTTCTATCTTCTTCATAGCTGATTCAGTGGTAAGAGGATGCTTAATAGTAGACCATTGATCAAAGCTAAAAAGTAATATATAAAAAAATTTGAAGCAAAGGGTAGATAAAAAACAACTTAAAAACATATTAATGTTTAATTCACTTTTTTAAACATAAATTGTTACAGAATTTTTCCCAGCACAAAAAAATGCTTTTCATTTAGAATTTTTATCATTATCAAATTTTTTTCAAATAAAAAATTAGCGTAATTCTCGAATTTTGAAAATGTTAAATGCTGTAATAATAACTTATTGCCAGTAAAAAAGTGTCTCCAAAAGTGTCCCAGCCATAATATCGTAACCATGCAGACTTATGATCAGGTCATAAAGCGATAATTAACGTGTTGCAATAAAGTATAAAATATATCAGAGTACGTTTAAAATTCCTATAATATGATAAATAATAGCAAAAAAAAAAAAAAAAAAAAAAAAAAAAAAAAAAAAAAAAAAAAAAAAAACTATCACCAAAAGATGTCAATTGTGATGAAATCTACAACCGCAATACATAAAAAACAAACAAACTATAATTTCAAACTGCGCAACATCGCATTGAAAATATCAAATTAACAAAGTAACACTACAATGAAATCACCAAGATTCAAAGAAGTGATAGCCCAAGAACAAAATAAGCATGTCGTAAAAATGTATTATATACTTAAAAATAAATCATAGGGAAACAGTTCAAATATTAATTACGACAGAAAAACATCCATCAAACCCTGTGGATGTACAAGAAATTGGTGAAATATATCTTAATATATCTAGGTGCGTAATCAAGTTCAAAGGACACACGAGGTGTAACGTTTTTTAATATTCAAAGCAAGCAGCGCACCTGCTCAGCAAATCCTGCTTAGAATGAACCACATATTACACCTATATAGATTGAATACACATTATCAATATTACAGATTATTACTGACAAAAAAAAAAAAANAAAAAAAAAAAAAAAAAAAAAAAAAAAAAAAAAAAAAAAAAAAAAAAAACAGCAACATTACAACTGAAAAAATAATAATAATAAAAAAAACTTAAATGCCTCACCGTGGTTTTTTAGGTACACTCTTGCGTGGGTACTTGGGATTTCTCTTCAAGGAGAGAGTGTGTGGTCTTCGAAATTGAACAGTTGTTCTGATTTTCCTCGTTCTTGTACCATGAGCACCTTTGACTACCTTCTTTCTGGCAGCTAAAGCTTTGGCTTTTGACTGTCCAGATCCCAACTTTTTATTGCCTTTTGGTGCAACCTTCTCTGCTTTAGCTCCGGTTTTAGGTGCAGGTGGAACATTTTCTTTTTTGGATTCTTTAGGTTTCTCAGTTTTGCTAGCTTTAGCGGCAGCAGCTGCTTTAGGGGCTATAAAAAAATTCGTAATGAATTTACATAACATATTACATCAATTTTATTAAACACACTGAATTGTAGCTAAAACAAAGGTGTAGTTAAGAATATATAATCTAACTAGCTTACTATTGATAACACAACCAAACACTTCTTTCTGATCCAATACTACAATTTAAAAAAAAAAAAAAAAAATTATTTTTGTAGATATCTCAGCATTGTATCTAGACTGTGTCAATTGTCTAGCTTTTGTAACAAATTACTTAAACAGATCTAGTTTAACCCAGAGAGTTCACTTTCTTTTTATCTAGTTATACATCACTAATGATTTCTTGTTGGTGCTTAGCAGATTTTCTTTTTTGGTGAAACATTTTGAAAAGCTTTATATCATTTCAAATTAACCAAAAACATTAGTATAAAATTAAATAATAAAAATTTCATAACAAAAAATCTTTTTTGTACAATGTTTGATCTGAAAGTAAACTTTTCCAAAAACAGCAAATAAACAAAAGCTTTCTCAGTTCACCTAAATAAAATTACTAAATTTATATATAAAAAGTTGGAAAAAGATAAGAAGCAAATCTTTAGACAACATTTTCACAATCATCTCCTTACAAAACAAAAAGATGGAAAGCATAAGTAAAAAATCTTGTTTGATACTAGCAGTCCAGTAACAGTAACAACTGCTTCAACGAACCAGAAGGTATTTCATTACTCCATGTTGCAGAATTCACAGAATTTAAATACTATGCAACAGAATTAGAGTATACCTGTATCAGAAACAATATTAACGCTACAAGGGTAATTGTGATTTCAGGTATAAATTGTGTACAGAGGGGCACATACATCAATCAACTATAGTCAATTTGTCCTTTCAAATTATTATAGACTAGTTTAATTTTCAAAAATATAGAACTGATATAGTTCAACTTAAACTTTTATAATCTGTGTGAACATCCAACTTACATGTAATAAATATACTTTAAACTATAAGTTGGTTAGATACAGAACTCTTTTTACAGCAGAATTAACAATGATAACTTTGAAATGTAACTTTTATTACATTTTGTATCATTTATAATATAAATAGCATTTGATTTTCAATAGGAATTACGTTAAGAAAATGAAGCTGTCAGAGATAAGGAAAAAAAAACGATGAAGCTAATTTAATTTCTTCTTGAAAAAAAATTGAGGTGTTATAAAAGAAAAACAAGCATCTCGGACACTAGGATATTCAATAACGATAGACAATAATTAAAAGCAGGAAGAGCCAGACATTCAGAAGATAGATAAGAGCAAATTTAGAATATCTTATATTTTAACAATAGGATTATGAATTGCATTGAAATTGAATCTTTTATATCTAATGATAATTAAAAGGTAAACAATATAATTGAGGAAACTTAAATTGCTGAAATGGTTAAGGTATATATTAAATTTATTTAACAAAACTTTGAGTGGACAGTGCAGGACATAAGATGAGGGATGCAATTCGCTAATTTGAAAGGGAAAAAAAAAGTAGCAAACTGTGATAAGCAAGTCACAGTGTTTGTGAAGTCACAGTACTTTTTTTCTTCATTTAGAACACAGTCACGAAATTTGTGGTCTAGACGCGATTACGCTAAATGATATATTAGGCCTAATACAAAATTTAAATATTAAGTGCATTTGCTTTTTACTCAGCTATAACATGGAACACATAATGCTTATTAAAGTTCCTTTTAAACGTAAAATAACGAAATTTAATACCTTCGACAAATTAAACATACAAGTCTTAACCACGAGGATTGCAATAGAAACATGTTTACCTTTAAAATAATATATATTAAGAAATACTTGCTATGAAAAAAAATGTGTCTAGTGTAAAAGATTTTATCTTACGTTTGTCAGCAGCTCCTTTCTTGGTTTTAGGTCCCATTTTGTTAATTAATTAAATATTTAAAAATTACACGGGCCACGTTTCGTGAAACCTCAGTCAACCAAAATGCGGTGATACATAAGACACTGTTGCCATTAAAAATGTGATATTTATGAAAGGACTGAACAAACTGAACGAGTGCAAAGTTTGCGCATGCGTTTTTCGCTCTACTAGTTGTACGTACAGTCATGACTTTCCGGCTCTCCTTGATATGAAGACAGAAATAAACCAACGGAAACGAACTAGGTATCTTCTTTCACTTAGTGGCGTCATCTACTAAAATTTCTCTGAACTTTTATTCTCAATTCTAGATTAATTTTCAAATTCCGGTGTAAATCAAAATATAAGAGGGGGGAACACTTACACTTATTATGAAATAAATAAATGAAATAAACTACTTTTAATTATTAATACTAATTTATCACAAATTTATGTTTTATAATAATTCTATTTATTAGTCGAACTAGTTATAACTGAATCTTTAAATAAAATTCGATTTTTGATTGCTATACTTTCAAGAAAAAACCAGTTTAACTTAAAACTTTTCTTTAAAAAAGTGCATTGATTTTTCTGAAATAATCGTAAAACCCTAGATATTTCAAGTAAAACTTGTTTTAGCTGATTAACTTTTGCAGTTTAAAAGACAAAATTGTACTAACATCTCAATAAAAAGTTTTTTTTCTTCCTTCTATTAATTGACATTTCTTTCCTGAAATTTTTTATTATGCTAATGCATAAAATCACATTGAGTTTTATAGCTTAATTTATTTTCCTGGCTGCAAAATTAAATTATATTTGAATATAAATTGTTTAGAATAATAAATATTAAAAAAATACAAGCTTATTTTCAACTTTTATAAAAATATAATTTCACATTTGAAGTATAAATTATTATTATAAAGAAAAAAAAATTCCTTTCTACACAAAAAATTGTTTAAACTTAAAAGTCTTGCCTACACTGTTCTTTAACAATAGTATTTATTAACACTATATTGTTTATGAAAAATAATAGTGCCTTCTTTAAAATAATATGAAATAAAAAGATCGTTGTTTCTCATTCTTGTTTTTATTATACAATAATGTATTGTTAAAAATACTATGAAATCTTACTAAATTCAAAATATATATTTATTTTATGGATATATATTTTGTACATTTATAAAACTGCTACTAAGCACATGCATATCATTTTTCATCAACGTTAATGAATTAACTATTTTGCGCTTATTTTAATGATTATTTATTTAACATGTAAATGCTCTCTTTTTTGGGGTTAGAAGGTCAGATGACTGTGCATAAGATACTAATAAATTTTTTGAAAAATTATTTGTCCTAAGTAATAAGACCAGTGAAATCTAAAAAAAAACTGGCAGTGAAGTTTTTGAAGAACAATTGAAAACACACGCTTTATCTTTTAAATTATTTACGAAAATTAGTTCTGTTAATAAACCTCTGCCAGAAATTTCTGTTCCCCAAATATTAAATTGGATCCCCTATAGATACTAGTTTTTCTTCTTCTTTATTTTTTTTAAAGATTTTAGAGGGTGCTGGTCAGTTCAAAGCAAAAATGCATGTCCCTTAATTATAAAAAAAATAGTAAAATGCGTTTTATTTTTAAAGAATGAAAGAAACTTTGAGAAGTGTTCACACAATTCATTTGCATTATTATGTTAAAAGCGTGCTTTAAAAATTATTCCATTTATATGAAATAGTGTATAAGTTATGTAAAAATGAAAGACACAAGTTTAAAAATTTTATAAATTTAATAAAAATTCTCACAAGTTTCTAACAAAAATGTATGAGTTAGTACATAATAGTGAATTTTTAGAATAACTAAAACATGACAGGTAAATATCCACATCTTAGGGACAACACAAAAATTTGGAAATTAAAATTAATATAATCTTTTATTTAAAAATAAGCAAAAGACAACATATTAACATCTCATTCAATTACATGACTTTCATGGTAGATAACATAAAAATAAAAAAATGAATACGAACTTTTGAGGGCTTTTCATATACTTAGATAACATTTTCTAAGAAAATTGGTTGTAAATTTATCTTAGAATACAATTTTGCTTTATCTTTATGTATTAATAAATTTAAAACTTCTTTTTTTTTTGTGCTTTATGCAGCAAGAATAGCTTATTTTTACTGTTAATCTTGTTTACTCTGAGTACCAAAATAAAGGAGATTATGTATATAGCAAGAGATTTAAAAAAAAAAAAATGTTAGGTCTAATGTTTAAAAAGCAATGTAAAATCATACTGCTATTTGCTACGAGCATAATATGAATTTAACAAGAAATTTTTTATAAACTTTTTGAAAATTATTTTATTGAAAGACATCAGGAAAGAAAATTATGTGTTTGTAGAAATTTCTTTTTCTACGAAATCGCTTTAAAACTCTCTTTTAGTTGAAATGTAGAATGGAGGGAAACTGAGCGAAGAATATAACAAAATTCTTAAACCAGAACAGAATTTTAAAAACTTCCATTGTATTATTCCTCTTATCTTATGTTTACAAGATAATGAGAGAACAGGTTTGGTTTTCAAAGAAATTTTATCGTTAAGATTTGCATTTAAATCTCCTGAAATAATTTTACCAGTGAATAATTTTAGAATTCTCAGATTTTTCTGCAATTTATAAATAAAATTGTGAGTCGTAAATCGGCTTAAGAAAATTAATATCAGGACACAAAACATGCGTCAGGGTTGTCAAGTTTTGAGTGTTATTTTCAGTTTTTTATGTCTTCAGCTAAAGTTAAATGGATTAACAAATTGAATGGTAAATAGTACACGTCATATTGCAAACAGTACAGCACAATTACAAAATAGGATAGCATATTTTTTATTTATTGATGCCATATTTAGTAACACAGAATGTTATTACGAATTGCAATCACTGGTGGCATTTGTGCTTTGTTTAAGACAGTTCTTCATTCACTGCAATGGGTAACAATGAGAGGACACTCATTTATTTTATTATAAATTACTCAATATGTTGAGAGTTAACAGTGACTCAAACAATTGATCAGTTGAGTCATAACAGAGCAGCAAAAAATAAATAAACAAATAACAAAAATACAAACTAAATTGAAGTAACAAGAAAAACACCAGCATGAGCATGAGATTAAGATGGCCGTGGCTTAATAAAATACACTTTTGTAAAAGATTTTGTTTAAAATAATAAAGTGCTTCAATCTTATGCATCTATGATTCTGATCAAATATTTGAATTTTTGGAATTACATGCTATTAGTAATGTTCTAGTTTATTGAATTTTATTCCATGAGTGTTATATAATGAATAATTGCAAAAAAAACCCAGTTAAATCATAAATAACATAATACTTCCTTCGTAGCAGAGTTAATTAAAATATGATAAAAAATGAACTTTTATTAAAAATTTTCTGGATCACTAATGAATTTGAAAGCAATTATTTCAGTCCCTATGCTTTCGTTATGAAAAAGTTTGAGTGTAATTCAAAAAAGAATTTTATGAACTTTATAATCAAATCATTTATACATCAGCAATCGAAACAAAATTTTATGAGTTAAGAACATTCTCTTGCATTCATATCAAAATTGCCTTTTCAGAATAAAGTTTTTACAAGTAAGCAATAATTTTAAATGACACACATTGTTTTCAAAATTTCAATGAACCTCTCATTTTCCTCTGCAAGTAATGAATTGTACAAAAAAGAAATTTTTTTTCTTTATTTAATTAACCCTATGTAAACGTTTCATATTACAAAAGTATTCTAGATTATCAGGTTAAACTTCAATTTAAGTTACAAATAGAAAAATAGCTTTTAGCAGAGTAATTTGATTTTTTCAACAAAATTTAATGAACAAAAATTATTTCTCTTTTCGCTGTTTTTCAGAAAAAAGTCAATCAAACTCAAAACCACATATGTAAACAATATACATAATTAATTGAAAATCAAATATATAATACTTTCATTTAAAAATAAAAGTATTTAATTATACTCCATTCAAATAAACTTTGGATAATACCTTGCAAAAAGTATACATCTTATTAAACTATATTTTATTGTTACCAGGTTAAATATCGAAATAATGAACTAAATACACCATCTACAAAAAACTCTCAAAAACAAATAAATAAAAGAAGCTTACATGTCCATCTCCACAGTAAGAGAAAATTTTATCAAGTGAGGAAATAAAATTTTCCAAAAGTACAGAGTATTGAATAAACTACAATAACAAGTAAGAAAATATTCCTTTTTTGGTGGAAAAATTACATATGAATCGATAGATTACTTTTATAAGTTATCAATTTAAGTGTATGCATATTTTTATAGACTTTATACAAAGTCAGGAGAAAAAATTTTATAATAGATATGCAAATATCATTCAATCTAAGCTTAAATTTTTACAAGGCTAGATGCCACTTAGTATTCATTTGAGAAAACACAAAATAATAATACAAACGGAAATAAGAGTGCTCAAATTTTGGAAATATCTAAATCAGATCAGACCAACCCAAATGATTTAAAAAGCCACTTTGCTGATGAGAAACTTTTAAGTGAGCTGTACTTCTGATAAACATGTTTTTGAAAATATAATACTGTGGCAGTGACTAAGATTGGAAAGAGAGAGTTTGTGCCAACTACAATCGCCACAAAGTTCATTGATAAACAGATCACATACTATGGTGTCTTTCTATAATGTCCAAATCTATTCTACGTTTTATGTTATATATGTGTCTAAGTTAACAGTGTGGTATTAATAAACAAACCACGATAATACAAATACAGTGAATCCGCAGTAAAATCCCTGTTAATGGAGATTGTGGTGGTTCTTAGGTGTTACCTCCATCGATTTTAAAATGATATAGAAGGTACATGATTTTTTGCAAACGATTTTAACTTTAGTCAGTGTCATTTTTTCGGGTGCCACTTGTCAAAATTTAGCGTCAATAAAAATTATTCTCACAGACATAATTATTGTCTAAAAACAAATTTACCAATTATGAATGATAGAACTATTTTAAATAAATAAACAATTATGTTTTTTGAAGTTTGTATTTAATTTTATATAACAATGAGTTAGATTTAAATGGCGAGAAGAGGTCTGTTTGAGATGCTTAGTTATTTCTGAAAGAACTTTTTCTTCTTTCTAATTTCACTTTAAGCTCTAAAAATGAATCATAGATAGCATCGTCTTTAGTGCAATCTGACTTCAACTTGGGGTTATAAATCTTTTTCACAGATCGTCAAAAAGAACTCTCTAAATAAGAGCTTCACACAAATATTTTGAATATATATTAATATACTTTTTGTTTGGTTAATATTTTTTGTTTTAATAATTTTTTTTTTTGGTGTTTCCTTTTTTGGCCTTTTCCACATTTGGTGCGGAGGCTTACCCAGGCACTGGGAGAAGTTTTGATGGTCTCTCCTAAAGGTTTTCTTCAACACAAAGTCTATGTAAAAAATTCTGTGCCTCCCAAAAGTGGTCCTAAATAGAGGTGGTCTTTCCTGGAAGTTTTACTGCACAAAATGATTCAAACTTCATTATTATATTATGATATAAATATAATAACCTTTAGTAAAAAGGTTTGTTCATCTATGATATTTATGTTCGACATTGCAAATCTTTGCTGGATTTCAAAATTGTGATCAGTTAATAAGAATGCGATGGACTCTTTGAAAAATTTTATCTTTGAAAAATGGTGGAGCCAAAAGCATTTTACAGATAGTCACACTAAATATCTAATGTTGAAGTATCTTTAGGATTTAATTAAAATATTGAAAAAATAAAAATTCTGGACATAGATCAAAAATTTATTTTATATCATTGTTGCACTGGGATTCAATTAACATTATTTCCAGTTTTTTAGAAACATTACTGATGTCAACATGAAATGAGCATGAAAAATCTTCAAACTTTTGAACTTATTTTGCTAATCCTGAAATAAAAAAAAGCTACTAATATGTTAGGTTTCTTTGTTTCAGTAACCTATTAATAGAAGGTCTTGGGTTTACATCATAAATTCATGTGGCTAGCAGGCCAGGTGTTGGCTAGACCTGATTTAAACTTTATGATTTCAAAATTTAAAACAAATACACAGACATAAAATTAATTTTTTTTATTAAGAACAAATAAGCTTTCTCATTCAATTATTTTGCTTTTAACAATGAATAAAGAAATTTGAAAAATATCTCAACACATATAGAAACCTTTCACCGGGAACAAGAATCGTTAAAATTTTTAAATGTAAATAAAATAAAAAATCTAAAATAAAACAAGTATCAGAAATTTTTATGACGGCAATATTATTATAAGTTCAAGTTATAATATGATGCAAAAATATTAAAGACAGTCTTTATTTATCATAATGGTAATGGATTTATTTTTCAGAGTTGTTACTCAAACAAAAGAATGCCACTCTCTTTTCGAGAGAGAATGAATTCATTTGCTTAAACATTTCAATAAAAAATAGAAAAAAAATAAGCAAAAGAATTTTTTAAAATTCCACAGCAAGTATATACCAGCTCTGTTAAGGACTAACAAATATAGTACACACAAAAATAAAAATTTGCCTGACACGTAGCATATATGTCTTTAATTTAAAAATATTACAATAACAGTAAAATAAAATGACAGAATATCAAACACAACATTCTTCACATATACACGAACGGTAATGAGAACTTTCATTGCCTTTTTTCCCCCCACTTAAGATAGGATACTCATATTTCACATAAGTCCAAAATTTTTTCACCTTTTCCTTGAAACGTTTTAATTTTGAATAGCAACAAATTAAAATTGAAAATTAATATAAGGCTTGAAATCATAGAGAACTTGCAGCATATCTTGTCTCTCTATGACACGCCTGAGTGCCAAGACACACACACACTTGATAACTAGATTGTTGTTCTTTAGGTACAAATACAACAAACCAATGTTATACATTTTAATTTTTTTCATTGATTAATTTCAACATTTAATTTAAGATTAGCAATATAATTTAAGATTCGTTAAGTTCCCATATCTTTAAACGAGAGACAAAATTACAAAAAATATAATTTGTTTTTCCTTGCTTGTTTCTAAACTAGACTTTTTTTTCTTTTACCAATTAAATGCAGGAAGTGATTATAATGCCAGATGTAAAGTTTAAAATATAAAATACGATGAAAACATGCTAAAGATGAACAAATAAGTATTAAGTTTTTAATAAGCATTTTTGAAAAGTAAGCAGAAATGAAAGAATAACTAAAAACAGATTTTTCTGCCCCTTTTAAACTTATGTTTTATGATATAATGATAGTTCCACTACATGAGATGACCAAATAAATAGTTTAAAATAAAAGCTGGTGTAAGATTATGATAAATCCCAATAAATAAATATCACAGAACAAATATCTTAATACTGAAGTTGTAAGGAGATCCATATTTCAAATTATACAGGATTCAGCCAGATCCTGAATTCGAATCCTCTACAGACAATGCAGCAGTGCCAGAATATAAATCTGAAAATAAATAAATAGGAACAGAATCTTTATGTTATGGTTAGGATTTAAAACTTTTAAAATCAAAATGGCAATTATATCTTTTAAAACCAGATAATTTAATTGAAAAAGTTAATTAAAAAAACAAAACTGACCACTGTTATCATCAGGTTCCTTCTTGACAGTCACTTCTCCAAAGTCTTCATTCTTTTTTCTTATCATCTTTTTTCGACCTACAAGAATAATATAAGAGAAAACAACTTTCAGTATTATGACACAACACAGCAAAAATTCCCAAACTTTATAGCTAAAGGGGCACACTGACTTTCATATGACTACAATAATAATTATTTTTAAAAAATTTGGGTAAAATTAATGATTTTTATTTATTAATCATACGATTAGAAAAAAATTTACTTCTAAATGACACAATATAGATATTTTTCAAAATTGATCTCCACCTAATTTGAAGAGCAAAAGAATTTAATTAGGATATTAATGATAAATATATTATGTACCTTTACACCAGAATGATATTTACCTCTTTTTATTTTTCCAGGCATTAGCTTTTTAGATTTCTGGTTATCTTCAGTTTCTAATACATGAAAAAAAGAGAGCATTCCTTAGCAAGTAAACAGAAATACTTTATTAAAACCATACAAATAAGTAGTTTCAAAAATAAATTATGTATCAGAGAAAAAAAGAATAGCCACACGTTTAACTGGTAAATAATTCCTTTACACCATTCTTTTACCAAGCATTGCAAGAGGATGTCTAGTTACAAAAGCTATAGGAAATGTGAAGTAACAAAATTTTTTGCATTATATTATTAAGCCCTAATCAAACAAATGGCTTCTTATTTACATCTTAGTAAACTGGCGATTAATAAAAGGTGAGAATCGTATATACAGCTTACAGTATAGGAAGTAAACATTAGAGTAGCATCAAAAAATATTTCACATCAACTTATAATAGCTGTCATAAGTTGCTTTTGAGATAGTATGCAAAATGCGATCGATATTAATTAATAAACCTTAAGAATGCTTTTGTTGCAAAGTTTTGTTTCATGTTTAATTTATTTCATGGTTTTGTTGTGAAACGAAGTACTATAAGTTACTTTATTGCCTATATTTTAATGATACAAGCTTTTTAAGTAATACCAACATATTTATAGCACACCATACCTTCTGAAAGTTCAGTACCGTTTTAGGACTGATTAATGTAAAGGCTAGAAAGCTGACTACAGTGCTTGTTCTAAAATCTAAATTTTTTAGATTTTCCTTCATAAAAGAATGCATGAACCCTAAAATTGGTAATGTATATCACAAAATTTTTTTTGGAAATTATGTAACACATTTTTCGGGGTAGAAGTTGACCTCCTATTTTAAACTTCAAAATGGAAGATTTTGCATATTTTTGGTGTAAATGTAAGCCACTGAATTTACTTTAGTTGAAAAATAGGATTCTAACTTAAAAGGATGATACGACAAGCAAAGTCCTTGTAAATGACATAGTTGAGACATTTTAAATCACTTATACAAAATCAGAATACGTATGGTACTTTTCTAAAAAGTATTATTTTTAATGCAAAATGTTTGACTGTGTTATAATTGCATTACATTTCCTGTATTTATCTAAGGGATCGGGTGGGCATTTAATGTGGTATTGTAACAGCTATAGTTAGACACTTTTTTTTAGGCAAAGTGCTAAATAGTATTTAAAATGCATACCCCACAACTTTTTACGCTTTTCAAAAAAGTTTTTCCTAGATGTAAGGAAATGCTAATTGAATTGAGATTATAAGCTGGTGTTGGATTAAAATTTAAATGACACTTAGAAGCATTTTCAAAGACCTAGAAAACAGACCGATCATGAAAATTTCAGTATACGATCATGTAAATTTCACTACACATTAAACGCCAAAAATAAAATCTTCCATAAAATTCAGAAGAGTAAGTAAGTATGCCAATGTATAAGTGGACCCTCTACTTTTCACTACTATTTAGAGGCTCAATAGGGCGACTTATACACCATAAAATATAATTACATGTTCTTAAAACATCTTTAATTGTAAAATACAGGCAATAAAATTAGTTAAAAGCATTCTTTTAATTAAAAAAAAAAAATTTCACAGCAAAGCCTTTCAAGATTTTAACTGATATTTGTCAAATTTCTCAAAGTTACTATTTTGAAAAAAAAAAAGATTTTTACTTAAAAAATATTAAAATAAAGATAGGAAAACAGAAAGATACAATTGAATTTACCATCAGATCGTGGTGGTTCCAATCGGTAACCCAAAACTTCACACCATCCAACAGGGAATAAGTCGGGACTTTCGCAATCACACCACTGGTCATACGCAACATCCCAACCTTCAAAGTGAATGCGCAGAAGGCTCCCAATCACTTTGGTCACTGAAGCTATGCAAATTAATCTGGGTTCCATTAAATCCACCGCTTCAAGGTACATCCCTTCAATAAAACCATGATTTGGGATGTCCTACAAAAATAAAAATAGATTAGTTGCACACTAGTAAGAATTAATTTAGTTGGCAAGTATTCAAAAGAATGCAACAATTTTTGTATTTAACCCACTAACAGTTTTGACATTTCATTTTTAATGATTTCAAATTTTCACACTTTTTTTAACACAACTGTGGTTCAGGTTAATCCCTCCGTTTAACCAGAAAACTGTGTTATGAAGTTGTATTATTTTTCTCCATACTAGTTCTAGATAGGGGGGTGTTTAATATTAAAACAAATCAGAGGATTTTTCTATGTACAGGTATATTAATAGGTAGAAAATAGAGTGCAGGTGTTTACGTATACAACCATATGGGAAGGTAACGCCAGTTGGTGAAATTAATACAATCAAATAGTAAAGTAATCAATATTAATTTGATCAGATTTAAAGAAAAAATAAAACATTTTAAGAATCCGGAGGTTTGCAAGAAAAAATTAGAAAACAAAAACATAAAGCACTTTTAAACTTAAAAGCAACTTTATGAAATTGTACTATAAACTTTCAAGAATTTTAAGATTCTAATTAAAACCTTATTTGATTAAGTAGAAGTTTACACAAGGACTTGAAATGAAGTTATATAACTAACAAATTCAGTAGATATGAAACTGTTGGAGCCAGATTCTAAAATTGTTAAGACGCATACAATGATTTTAAAAAACAAAATAAGGAGTAATGTTTTTAATACTGTACTTACTCTTTGAAACAGTGCGTAGGGTGCTGGTTTTGCTTTCGCTTTCTTCAAATATTCATGCCATTTAAATTCACCTTTATAGCCTTCAAAAAGAAAAAATTCTCAATCAATTGTTTTTCCACTAGAATTTTAGTGTTAATTAATTTTTAAAATAACATATTTTATGCAAAACTTTTTAAATTTTATAATTATGTTCTTGTTTTAGCTTTGCAGTGTTAAAGAAAATGCCTCAGGATTACTAGCAACAGTACCCTCATATTTTAAAACTATCTAGCTACATCAGGGGTTGCCAAACTTTTTTGATCATCGACCCCTACATAATTTTTCGAAATCTCCATCGACCCCCATAAAAGTAATTTTCTGTTAATTAAAATAAAACTCTATTAGATACTGTGCTTGTACATTTATTTTATGATTTAGAGCATTTATTAAAGTAATAGTACATAGTGTAACAATAGTTTTATGAAAAATATATTAATGTTGAAATTTAATACCTTAATAATTATTAAAAAATAAGTAATTATAAGTAAGTAGAAATAATAAGTAAAGTAACTACTGATTTATTGCTTCTTAATCAATGACATGGGTGTGTCTGGTGTTTTTTTTTTTGCAAGGTTCGTTATATTGGGTTCAAAATTGGTCAATTTTAATCTTAAATCCCCTCGAAACTCCACATTTAATTTATTTCTGTTCTTAGTTAATATTGAATTTACGTGACTGAAACCAGCTTCAACCATATAGGAACTTGGAAATGCTATCATAAATGACTGAGCTATTTCGTAAAGTTGTACATATATTTGCATTATATTTATATTTGTCCAAAATTTGCTTATTGTTAAATTTTTAAAAAGCGTCTTTGCTTCAAATCCCCATAATAATTCAGCAAGCTCATATTGCAGGTTGATGTCCACGTTTTCAATTTGAGCAGAAAATGGCTCAATAATCCAATCAGGGATGTCAATGTTTTCCAAATCTGAGCTACATCAAGCTAAATTACAATAAAATCAAGCTAAAATTTCCAGAAAAATTCCATAATTCTTATTATATATACAAATATACAATTTTAAAAGTTAATGTTATAACTATATGAGAGATGTATTCCTAATAATAATTCAAATATGAATACAATTTGAAAATGATTAAAATTGTCAACTTGAAAATTTTAAAAACACTCTGACATTTTGAAGTTAACATAAAATGTCCCAATTAGAAAAAAAAAAAAAAAAAAAAAATAANATTAAAAAAAAAAAAAAAAAAAAAAAACCAAACGGAAATTTTTTTTCCTTATAAAGTTTCAAAGACAATACCAGTGATATATATCTTATTAATTTTATAACTAAATATTAATTTTTATAATTAATTCACAAATTAAGTAAAAAAAACAACTTATCTCTAAAAAAGAAAATTTACTCAGTTTCTAAAAAGTATAGTAAGTTCCTCACCTTTGGGAGGAGTTAGATCAATTGAATTAGATTCACAAAATCCCACTGGAAAGATGTAGGGCGACGATGCATGATAACAAAATGAATCTGATCCATCTGCAGTAGCCATGCCATCAATTCCAATCATGAGATAATTGTCTCTCAATACTTCTAACACAGTAGCTACACATATTGTTGATAAGTTAAGAGGATCGATTGCTTCGAGTTTCATTCCTTCCTTATACTTCATGTTTTTATTGGGATAACATGCCTGTAGTGGATTTTAAAAGATAATTAGAACACCACAAATGATACACTTATAATTTCCAAGAGTTATGAAAAAGTTAAGTCTTTTGAATAATTTTCATATTTTTGATAAAAGCTTATAGGAAGAAATAAGAGAAATCCTAAAAAACATAATTTAATGGAGGTGAGTCTGTGATATTTATTTATTATTATTATCATGGATTGGGTCAGCTGATTTAAATGGCCACTAACATGAACCAACATGTTAAATTTAACATGCTGAATGATCTTACTTCTCAGTCAACATCTTTAAGATGAGTATGCTCCTGATGTCCCTCATTCTCAAGACAACAACAAAAAGCTCAGCAGGCTGTCAGAGCATGGGACTGGTTTAATGAATACTCAGACACCCTTATTTGCTACATTTTAACTGGCCTGAAAAATCACCTGATTTTAATCTCACAAAAAGAGCCATGGTGGCTAAGGCCATAGAGTGTTTGCCTCCCAATGAGGTGAATCAGGTTTGAATCTCAATCAATTCTGCTTCTGGCTCTCACTGATCACAGAGCTGACATAAAATATCCTCAGAGGTTGACAAATCACAGGTTGGAATATCCTTGCCATCGGGCTATTGGTGGGAGATTTTCATGGTTTTTCCTCTCCATGTAATGCAAATGCAGGTTAGTTCAATCAAAAAGTCCTCTGGGAAGGCTAGTTTGTCCCAATGCCTGATCCATGAGTTCCCTTGTATTCCGGTTCAGGTTCAAAATTACAAGATTAAAGAGTTGAACATTGATAGTCATCAATTCAGAATTAGGTTGGTTGTTCAACGCCGGTTATAAAATAAAATAAATCTCTCAGAAATCTGTGAGATATGTTGACACAAGAGGGAAAATGGCAAATTCAGCATCCTACAATTTGGTAGATTTGCACAATCAGTTCTTAACAAATGGTTTAAACCTGATGCAACAAATTTACAAAATCTTTGCAACTCACTTTCTGACTAAATTCAGGGGGTTATCAGGTCCAGAAGTAAAGTTACAGGGTATTAAATTATGTTTCTCATGGTTTCTGTAGAGGTGACTAATTTTTTGTTTGATGATTTTATAATTTGGTCTAAAGACAAAAGACTGCTGCTAGCCTACCTGTCTAACTACAGTGCATTGAGGGATGAAGTGCAAAAGTTTTAAAATAATATAAGTGGTTTGCCAAGGCTCAGTATGGCATGGTATGGTTTTAATCTAAAGGGAAGAATTCAATTGAAATTTTTAAACATTTGTAATACTTTAGAAATTAAGAATGCACTGCAAGAGGACCTTAAGACAAGTATTTAATTAATTATGATTTTCGATAATTTGTACTGAGTCTGCATGCATTTCAATATTTTTAAAACTTTTATGATTTATCCATCAATAACGAAAATCAGACTAATAAGCAAAACTTAAGTTCAAGATTACAAATTATAAATACTAAACTTGATCAAATTATGAGTTAAATGTTAAAATCAATATTTTGGTTGATGTAAAGTGAACGTGTTTCTTCTAAAATTGGTTGAAAATATTAATAAAGCAAAAAGTAATTATAGGAAAATAGTATAAAAGAAAGGGAAGGCTCAGTTTTAAATTCCATAATAATGTCTGATGCTTTGAAACTTTTAATTTTTAGCAAACGGATAATTGTTTTTAATAGACTTATTAGCTTAAAACTGTGAAAGAATTTTTATTTAAAAACGCAGTGCTAATATAAGAGTCTGTTCATTTTTTCTAACTAAATGTATGAAAAAGAGTTTTAAAAAGAAAGAAATATAAACAAGATAAGGAAAAAAAAATAGAAAAACTGGTAACATGTTTTGAATTTTCATTATTGAATTTTAGAAATGAATGCTTTCCGAATCTATACATATATTTTACCAACTATAATAAAGGAGAGAATTTTAAAACTAGGTTTCTTTTTGATTAACAGCAATTTTAAAGCTATTTAATTTTATTCATAACTACCTTTTAAATTTGAATTCTTTATTACAAATAAGTTAGCTATATTCCAGTCATCAGAAAAATGTGCATCTTAAATTAAAAAGATGCTTATTACCATCGAAACTTGAATATTTTATAAAACTATTGTACAGAAAAGAACCAAAATTTATATTTTTACTGCTAACTATGGTTGATATAAATTTTGTATGAATACAAATAACTCCATTTTGGAAAACTTTGATCTTAAAATTACAGATATGCTTATTATATAAATTTCCAAATGCAAAATGTAATGAATTAAATTAAGGTACGAAGATAATACAATTCTTAGTTAAAGCGCAAAAAGAGGGGAGGTATAAGCTCAAAGAAGGTCTGTCACACCGAACAAGTACAAGGACTGAAGTTGTTGGTCAAAGGGGTCATGGAGGTCAAGTCACCATGATTTCATAATCAATGGAATGATGGTGGCAATGTGGTCAGTATTATACATCTGCTGTCTCTACTTCCCAGACAAGCTGGCACTCCTGGATCTGAAGCCGCCTGAGCTCCAAGCTGTCACTGGAGGATGAACCCAGGACCTACACAATGACAGTTCAGTGCCAGCTCTGATTATGTATACACTCTCATCACTCTCCATGCAATGCTTATGTTCAAAAAGTCATCACTAACATCATTCTTAAAAAATAAGAATAAAAAAACAAACAATTTCCTCATTTTTAAACAAAAAAGATCAGAAAAATATTTTCTAATACAATTTATTTAAACACAATTGATTGATTTCAGCACATTCAATTTATATGTATTTTTGTTACCAATTATTTTAAACCAAAATGGGTGCAATGACTATTTCTTTCGTTAATGTGTTACTCCTTTTTATTATTTAGTAAATGAGAGTACATATTTAGAAAGGGAATACTCAGAGCTCCAGTACTTTATTAACAAAAAGATATTCCTAATTCAAAAATAAATTTCTTATACTATATATTAGTACATTAATGGAGACATGTATAAACTGAAAAATAACATATTAAAATTTTTTTCAATTACTTACAGGTAAAAACATGTCCCATGTTGCATCATTGGAATCAAAAGTTCGAAACAATGTTTTTTTCAAAGACTGCATAGCGTATTCTGAAATTTATTAAAATAATCTTGACAAAACAATATTTTGCAAAATAATGAGAAAATCAATACATATAATTTAAATATACTTATATAGTTAGGGCTTGAATACGAAAAGTTTTGTGGGCATATTTTTATGCACGCTCAAGATTCACACATTAAACCTACTGAGTTTTTTCTTAATTACGCCACAATGAAAAACATTACGGCAATGAACCTTATTGCCCAATGTGCAAAATAAAAAATTGAATTATCTCTGAATAACTTTTGATCTAATGATAGGTTTTTCATGTACTAAGTCTTAATCTTAATGGTTCGAAGGCATAATTTTTAATATGCTAATTAATTACAGTCTACATTTTATGTTATAAAATTGGACACAAATTTGGATTTTTAAAATTCAAAATATGTAGCTCCAATTTGGAAGATATGGTTCCCAAATAATTTAGGCAGGAGAGCAATTTTAAGTTTTGACCCTTTAATGTCAAGTTTACTATTTGTGTATTAAGCAAATTAAGAATATTTTGTACACAACTCAAAGTAAGATTGTAAAACTAAGATTATCTGAAGATAATTCCTTGTGAATAACTTATAAAAATTATTTAATTTTACTAACTATTTTTCTTAATTTTCTTTATAATAATTCAAAAAATTTTGAATTGTAAGGTATAGAAATTTTTACATCATTTTAAAGTAACTTTTGATAAAAAAAAAATACGAAATCTGAATGAAATCGGTCATTAGTTCTTGAAATTAATTTACGACTTATTTATACAACTATGGAGAATTCAGTTAAAATTTCTGTTAATCACTAATACTAGGCAGACAACTTTATTTACTTCGCACTAGAGCTTCACAATGAATTATAGGCCATGTAAATATTTTGCACATAACTTTAAAGATAATTTCATGATTAAGATTATCTAATAATTCCTTGTAAAAATAATTTTCAGTAATTATGTAATTTTACTAATTATTTTATTTATAATAGCTCAAAAATTTTGAATTGTAAGGTATACAAATATCACAGTTTTAGAGAGGAAACCTTGGAACTGATCATTTATAAAATGTTTGCCGAACCACAATGTTGCACAGAAGTGATTTAAACTTTAAATATTAATAAAATAACTAATTATTTAATAAATGACATAGCTTTCAATTTCTTGAAAGTCTCCTTTCTGTTAATAAATTTTTTTAAATGTATCTGACATTTAACCTTTTAACTTCATAAACTTAAAATTTACATCTCCACGCAATTTTATTTTCTATTTTAAAATGGTCCTCGTTTATTTAATACTGAATTAATTATTTTTGTAATTTGCTTTAAATTTTGCTTCTCCCTGTAAATATAAACAAATTTTTATAGACTATTTTGATTTATATTTTAATCACAATTTGAAACAAATGCATTTTGAGTAATTTTTATAAAAAGTTTTACAGTATTAAAACGATTATTAAACTAAAATTTTTAACTCTCTGACAGCCTTGAACCAAGAGTCATGTTTTTTTTGGGGATTTTCTTCCCCACAAACAAGATTTTTCTTTTTATTAGATTAGAAATTATACATAGGCAAGAAACATTCACAATCATGGTAACAATAAGATTAAACAAGGTTTTCAGTATTATTTAAAATAAAACTCAGAATTATTATTAAAAAAAAAAAAAAAACTCTAAATAATACTGCTTATTTTACTAACCTGGTTTAGATTTCAAAGCATGTCCAATAATCTGAGCCCAGCCGACGGGATGAATTAATGAGGATTTTTCATGACACCAAAAACCATCATCAGACGCTTCTGTATCATCATATTTCACATGCAACCGGCCTCCAATCACTTCACTAACTGTTGCTGGTCTTACAGCCGATATTAAATTTTTATCGACTACTTCAAGATTCATTCCTTTTTTTATTGTGGTATGTTTGTGCTCCTCAACCTGAATAAAAAAAAAAATAAATAAAAGCCGATGATAGGTATATTTTTCTGATCATAACATTAGAAAAATACTTACTTACTATAATAGAGCTTTGATAACTTAAAATAAATTTTAAGTAGCAAGCTTTACATTAGATTATGTATAAGTACTTAACATAGAAATTAAGGTGAACAATTAATGATACTTAATTTAGGAAAAAGGAAAATTTTACGCACAAATAGTCCAATCAAATAACACAACAATCAAATGAATAACTTTAACTGTTACTTAAAATAAAATGAAACAATGTAAGGAGTTAAATACATCACAGGTGTGGTGCAAATTATAAATTTTCCTATTTTAAAAAAGGTGTTTAAGTACACCAACTTTCAGTTTCATTCTTTATAATACTTAACCTGAAAATTATAATAGTTAATTTGCTAAAATATTACTTTGTAAGAAAAATCAGCTGGTATTGTACGAGATCTAGAAATCCTTCTCATTAAGTAATCTTTCCAATCAGTGTGTTTGTCCTCAATACCTGTAAACAATTAGTTAATGAAAAATCAAAATTCATTACAAAACATGAAAGGTCAGCAGTAAAAAAGAGATAGCTCAATTTTTAAGCTATCTCCTTTAACCAACTCAATCGTAATTGTCAACAAGACTCATGTAGTTTTGAGTCTTGTTGTACACCATGTTAATGTATAAAGAACACTTTATTTTGTGAAAAGATACGCAGTTGAAAGAGTTATAGTGTTACTCAAGATGAACATTCACTGCTTTTTTAATTTTTTATATCTATATCATATGCTTTTTCAGTTTTTTAAAAAACTGAGACTCTTGGAGCTACAACTCTTTTTCATATGAAACTCATATTTTAAAAGAAATATTCTTCGAATAATTATTAAATAAAAACATAAAGATTAGTTTATTACATAAAATTCAAAGACCGACATTTAAGATATTTATTTATAAGAGAAACTATTAAAGGAATGTCAAGTATCATGCAATAAAAAAATAAGTTTTATTTACATTTTGGGGGAACCAATGGCATTCCATTTTCAGCACACCAACCAATAGGATGGATATTCGTATTTGAACACAGATTAAGCCAGAAATCTTGACTACTATCAGATTCAAAACCTTCATATCGAAGCAAACCTAAATAACCTGTATTCAATAAATAAGTTAAAGGAACAGAGTTATAATTAAAAGTTATAAAATAAGTAGTTATTTAAGTATCTCAAGGGATAAAAAAGTAAACTAACAGAGACATATGGAAATATTTAACTATTCACAAGATTACCTCAAGCGTTTTAATACAATGACAACAATTTTAGAATTTTTTTTTATAACATTAGAAGTTTGGGTAAAATTAAAATCAACCTATCAAATAAAGAATTTTAAAATTACAAAGAGATAAATCAAAAATTTAACTATATATTCATTATTAAAATTATAAAAAAGGTATAAGAAAATACAATAAATTTTTTTTTATGAATGGTTATATTGTTCTTATTATACAATTTACTTCAATACTATAACAAATTTATTTACTTTTTTAAATGATTTTTCATTCAAAATAGTAAATTTGGTGGTAAATATTTTCTACAGTGACCAATTTTAGGCAGTTTTTAATTTACATATGTCTCACTTGTATGAAACACATGTATGAAGTTAGGAAATTTATAACAGTTAATCCCAATATTGAAACTAATAGAAGCGATTAAAGACACAATATTGCAATATTCTATGTATTAGAAAAGTTTTTCTTCTTTGCTTTTGAAAATTCTCACTGTAATCAGCGTAGGTTATATAAGTAATATGCTATAACTATTAGATCTGTGAGATATGGTGCAGCAAAGCAAAGGGAAGTTCACAGTTAAAAAACTTTCCAGCAATGAAAGTTTCATATAAATTTGTGAATTCCTTTTTTTTAATGAAATAAATTTCATAAAAAAAGGATTAAAGACACAATATTACAATATTCATATGTATTAGAAAAGTTCTTCTTCTTTGCTTTTGAAAATTCTCACTGTAATCAGCGTAGGTTTTATAAGTAATATGCTATAACTATGAGATCTGTGTGATATGGTGCAGCAAAGCAAGGGAAGTTCACAGTTAAAAAACTTTCCAACAATGAAAGTTTCATATAAATTTGTGCAGTCACTGCACATAATTAAAAAATGTATGTAATTGTAATTTATAACTCATAGAATTCGAAATGTAAAAAAAAACAGCCAACTTGTATTTTTTTATAAGAAATTAAAAAAAAATCCATATAAGAATACAATACTAATTAAGTTTTATGTTCATTACATTTAAATAAAATATGATAGATAAATAATTAAAGAATAACTGCTTTTGATACCAGACACTTTAACAACTGCAGCAATCCAATAACAGCAGGGAGTAGAAGGACAACAAGTTGTACAGTCGGGACTTCTGACTTCTACTAAGATACCTGCAGTTATGCTATCCCAACTTCTAGATAAAGCAACCTCAAATGAAATGAAAATTATGTAAATAATAAATAAAAAGAAATACATAGAAGAAAACATGCATATGACAAAAGAAATCAGAAATTTCCAAGAAATATATCGGGGTAAAGAGCATATATCGAACAAAGGACAAAATAGGTTTTTAAAGGCATTGATACATTTATATAATACAAATTATTTGAGCTAAAATTTAAAAACTGCTCAAATGGATAGATATAGTAACAAAGCCTCTGACTCCCGAATATTGAACAGAAAAATAAATTTCTGCTATCTATTTCATGAATCTTTTGCTGAGGGTGAAATCAGGGTTCGTTGATTTAAATCAGCTTGATTTAAATCACGATTTAAATCATGATTAAAATCAAATGATTTTTTTAAAAAAATCATTGATTTAAATCAACTGATTTTTATATATATATTATATTGATTTTAAAAGTTAAAAAACAGTGCTTTAAATTATTGATACTTTTATTATTTTCTTTTCTTAGTTTTAAAATTTATTTTAAATAAATTGCTGCATTAATTAATTTTAGTTAACGAAATTACTTTCTTTCTTGGAGTGTGTTAAACACATTTAAAATTACATGTTTAAAAATCTTTTGATTCTTAACATTGAAAGTACAGATTAAAGTAAATATTTAATGCTGTCTTAATATAGACTTGCATAGCTGTAGAAAGTAAATAAACATGCTTTTTTTTCAAAAAGCAAATGTTAATTAAAATTCTACCTTTTGATTAAAAAAGCATGAAATTCAAATCTACATTATAGTTTATTGATGGAAATTTCTATATTTCTAAAGCTTGAGGTTATATTAAAAAGAAATTACCTTAATATGCCAAAAATAGAAAAAAAAAAAAAAGCTGAGTTCAGATATTTTTTTCCTGATATAGTGTCATTCTTCCCTATCAAAGTCTATTTGAAGCAGTAGGGTTATTAACTGGTTTTTATTTTTCTTCTCATAATATGTTTACGGTATCTTTGAAATTATCAGATTTTCTTTTGTGAAAAAAAATTCCAATGAGTACATAGATTTTTTTAAAAATGTTTTTTAGCTTAACTTATGTATTTTGATAAAGGATTAAAAATGAATATTTTAACATAAAAATATATAGATTGAATATTTATTTTTTGATGAATAACAACATTTATAAACACAATCTGTTGCATTTATTTTGCCATTTTATAAATCATGAGAAAAAAAAGAGATCACAATTTTAAATTAAAATTATGCTGTGCTAATTGAAACTTTGTGTTATTAGTTAAAGTAGTATTCTTTAAATTATCTATTTTATCTTGTCTTTTAATTTCAATCATGCCTTTGTATCAAAATGGTCGCTATGCATTATAATGAAAAATTATTTTAGTAAGTTAGAGCTTCTAAAATATTGTTATAATATAGTTTTAATATTAATTTAATTTTGATTAAACATTTATAAAGTTTTTTTGATCATAAATTAAAGCTCTTATAGTGTATTTAAATAAAAAAAAAAATCTGATTTAAATCAAAAAAATCCGATTTAAATCAAAATAATCCGATTTTTTCGATTTTTTTTTAAAAAATCAAAAAAATCACGAACCCTGGGTGAAATGCATATGAAATTAGTTCAACAAGATGATAGTTTTAAGGATTAAGATTTTAAATGTTTAGCGATCATATCTTCAAAACTTTGACAAATTTTTTTTCCATACAATTTACATAATTCGTTTGTATAATAAGCAACCCTTTTTAAGAATATTGTTCAAATTTTATTGTTTGCTATGAGTTAAATTTAACAAAATTAAAAACTTTGTAACTTACATGCTTGAAACAAGATACAGGAGCAGCTACAAAATCATTCCTCGAGAGGTAACTACGCCAATTGTGGGAGCCTTGAAAAATGTAAAAATATTCATATTTTATTTAGTATAAGTTCAACAAATTGATCAGCATATATTATTATTTTATTGAAACATAATTAAAAGTTTAATAAAAATATAAAATTTTAGTGTTAGTTTCAATTTAGATAAAATGAAAAGCTTTCTGCAAATATAAAATGTCAATTAAAAAACTTTTTGAAAGGAATTTATTGACTCTTTTTAATAGTTTCAACCCTTTTGTCACCATCTAATTTTGACAAAAAACACTGTTTGCTTTTAAAGTTTCATAATTTTTATAAAACTCTAAATTGATTATTATATATATATCAGCATCCATTCCTTGAAATTCAACAGTTTTTGGAGGTACAAAGTTAGTTATTAACATCACAAATTTTTCATTGTTGCATCTAAATTTTCTAAAATTGTCTGCAGGATAGAATATGGAATTTTTTAAAAATTTATTTTTATAATGAGTAGTATTAAAAGTCTTTCAACAATAGTGATGAATTTTTCATGAACCGTGATCACACATTTGTGCACATTATGCATTTCTTATTCGGGGATGTCGAAATCTAACTTCATTCATAATGAAATAATTATTTATGGTCCCCTAAGTCAAGAACTAATTACAATTGAGTTTAAAGGAATGGTATGCTGGTTTGGTTAAATTAGTGTTTCTATTACATACATCATACTATATTATAATTGAGAAACCTATTTTTTTAAAAAATTTTCATAATGATTTTGTAATTTTCACTCTATCCCGTGAGTTGTGGTGGCTCACGGGATAGAGTGTTCTCCTTTGAATGAGGTGAATCGGGTTCGAATCCCAGTGATGGCTGGTTGATACGAATTTCGCACCCAACTCATACCGTTAACAATGACGCAAAAATATCCTCAGCTGTAAATGGATCACAGATTAGAGTATTTGTCGTCAGGCTAACAGTGGCAGACTTTTATCTACCTGTAACATAAATGCAGGTAAGTTCCATCAAAAAGTTCCCTACGAAGGCAAACTTCTCCTAATACTCATTAAAACTTGACAAAATTTTGTTTTATGTGAAGCTTCAATAGCTATTTGAATTAATTTATTTTGCTGATTAGGAAGATTTCCGAATTGCGATTTACATGAAAATAATATCCAAGTCTTGGTAACTTCTGGGCAGTGGCACGTGGGAAACTAAAAAGAACATCACAGTAAGGGACCAACTCAAAAGGCATTACTCGTATCCGCCCCCTGGCAAAGTTTTTTTTCCAAAAAAATTTGCCAATTTAAAATCTATTTCACACCTTGGCGATTGTAGTTGGCGTGACAGATCACAATATAGAAATATCTCCCAAACTACAACATAAATTGTTTGTTTTTCAAATTTTTGTAACTTAAAAAGCGTTTTGGTGCATAGGGGAAGGTAGGATGGATTTGGAAATATCCCTGAAGATTTAAATTCAATCGAACCTGTTTATCTCGAATCTCGTGGGAAAGGCAAAAAATTTGAGATAAAGAGGTTTCGTGTTATACAGGTACTTTAAAAAAATTTAATTTAATTAATAGTGCTTTAATTGTTTTTAGCAGAAAAATATAGGCATTTCTTTAAATTAATTATACCACATACATCTATTTACATAATTTTTTTTAAACAAGACTGAAAATAATTTTTCGAAGATTTCTGACGTATAACCTTATTTGTTTTGATTATTCTTTTAAGGTTAGAAAGAGTGCAAATCCCACATAGCCAACATTTTCCTGGGATTCAAGAGTAGTTTATAAGAATACTACAGCTTTTTCTACCTCTTTTGCATTTACTTTTTGTTTATCAATATGATCTTCAGCTTCTTCCTCTTCATCTGATATTCCTTTGACATTATCTACGATTTTCGTATCTTCATTGTTCCGCACGTTGCCAGGCAGTTGTCCACTAGTAAAAATCTTCAAAATTAATGTCAAAAACTGCATTTTCAGAGCCAATAGTTCCTTTTTGTTTACTGATGCCTTAAACTTCTTGTTCAACATATTCACAGCTATTATTAAACCCAGCTTTTTAAAACCATTTTGGATAGTTTTTAGAGACACATTTCTCCAGGCATGTAAGAAGTAATTTTGATAGCATGTAACATCTTTATTTTTGGAAGAGAACTTTTTTCATCAATGGCATCTACAAGTTTGCGTACCATTTGTTTTCTATTGTTCACTTTAAAACTTCATAATTATTCCTTGATCCATTCCTTGCAATTTTGAGGTAAAAATGAATTTCTATTCTTAGTTTTCTTATCTATGTTGAAAAGCTAACCCCTGGTGGTCATTACTCATTAGCCCCTCACTTACTGCCAGAATCATTGTATTCCCTTCTAGTTAAGGAAGTGCAGGGATAGTGATTAAAATTCAAAGAAACACCCCCAACCTGCTCATCCCTACTTCCTGTGGGTTCACGAAATTCATCTCTGTCTGCAAGTTCCATATGAGTGGACAAGTGATAATGTTTAGGGACTTGAAAAATTTTTTGGATTTAGATCCTTTGGACCAGTAACTAAATTTACTTAACTTTTTCTCCTATATTACGCAGAAAATAATTGTTTTTAAGGATTTAAATTTTCTGTCAAGTTATATGGTGGGATATTTCCATATCCATAGCACCAACTACAAGCGACAAGGTGCCAAGTAGATTTTAAACTTGCAAATTTTGAAAAAAAAACAACAACAACAAGATGTAGCTGTTTGCCTGGGGCTGGATAGGAGATTTACACTTTGCGTTGGTACCTTTCTGTGATTTTTTTATAGTTTCTCTCTGGCCGCTGCCCGGAAGTTGCCAAGACTTGGCGATTATTCTACCACAGATCAGGATACGGAAATCTGCCCTATACATATTCAAACTCTCGTCAAAAGGCCAACAGATCATTAAAATGAAAATCAAATTACAGTAGGAAATTATAAATGTTACAATGGGATGTCAGCCTGCTAAATTAATAATGTACCTACACAAATTCAGGTAATTTAGAAGAATTTTGCAGTTAAATTATAATTATCTAGAATGCTTTGGTATCATTTATGATTATCTGTATCAGCAATTTTCTAATTTATCTAAATATAGTCTTTCCTTACCTTTAAATTGTTATAAAAAGAAAAAATTGTTTACCTTCAATCATTTTACTGACTCAAGCTTAAATTAGACCCTTAATACTGTTGGCTGTCCTAAAAACTAATGAGAAGTTTTATTTAGATCAAAACGAAACATTGTAAATTTTTTGGATAGAATTAATTATGAGGATATCGCAATGCATTAAATTACAAATAACGATTCTTATCTTCAATAACATGCTAAATATTTGAATCGTTTATATTATTTTATTTATTTAACTCGATTTAAACTGGCAAACAATCTGGACTCCAAATTCCTTGGTTTGTTTTTGTTTACAACTTGCATTAAAAGTTCATTGCCAGAAAATAAAAAAATAGTTAATAATTACAAGTGGTAAAATACTTCATCTTAATCTTCAAATAGCATAAAAAAATACATAGCACATGCATTAAATGTTGTATTATTATTTTTTGAAATAATAAATTTTCATCCTTAAAAATTACAGAAATCTGTTTGGCATTCGTAGCTCAAAAGGAAATGCGAAACTAATGTTTACAGTTTGCAAAAGATAAATAAAACGAGAAGTATTACTATAACATCTTACTGAATAGAATACTCTCAAAATTTGAAGTCGTAAATTAAAGCCATGTTTAAATAAGAATTTTAAGTATTTGATTAAAGGAGAACTAGATCATAGAACAAACTATATCATGGCGGACAATGAACCACAACAAGCCCTCATGGTAAACGGGGATCTCACAGTAATTAATAATATTTCGAATTCCCAGTTATCCTCAGATCTTCAACAAAAAAACGATGAAGTAGTATCAACATCTGATATTTTACAAAGAGCTTTTGATGAAGCTGGGGGATTTGAACAAACTTTATTAAATCGACCTAGCGATCCCAGTTCTGTGCAAGAAAACAGTCAACATTTGACTGATCATTCATACATTCACACTAATTCAAATGCTGATTCATCTATCACCTCAACAGATAGTCAAGATATAAATCCAGACTGTAATGATTCAAATAAGGAATTGAATTTACCCAATATTCAGTTTTCAAGCGATGTTGATTTAAATGTTTCCCATGGGTTAGAAACTAGTTTTACAAATGAAACAACCAAACTTAATTTGTCTGTCGATAAATTAAAAATTGTGGAGAATATTTTAGCGAAGCAGATTATTACCACCAGCAATACAGTAACTCCATTGGATCCTATGTCCTCTAATAATTTAGTTATAGAATCAGAGAAAGTAACACCTTTGCCATCTATTTTAAAGAAGAAAGTTGAATCCTTTTCTTCAAATGCTCCATCCTCATCCTCGGATAGTGTAATTTCCCTGAGATTGCCATTGTCTGAGAATTTAAGTAATTCTTCCTTAGGATCGCTTAGGAATGAATTACCAATAAAAATAAGTAATTCTTCCTTAGGATCTCTGTGCAGCAATGATTCTGCTGATTCTGTATTTCCAAGTGATTCAAGTATTGTACAGAACCCAACTGATCAAAGTTTACAATTTGTTTTAAAACCAGATATTCAATCTACAGCTAATACGTCATCTAATAATGCAATTCATGTCACAAAGGTACTAGCAAAGCCAACTAATGCACCTTTAGGTTCCGTAGGAAACCCTATACAAATAATTCATAACGGAACATCATATTTATCTACACAAATGTTAAGTCAAGCACAGCTGCAGCAAATAACTCATGTTCTTCAGCAACAACAAGCTAAAAAGCTAGCAAATGGCGGCAAATCCTCAATATTATTCGAGCCAAATACTAGAACTCGTATTGTTTGTAGAGTCGTTCAACCATCAGAATTACAACAAAAATTATCTAAGCCCGAGACTTCTAAGGCTAATAATTGCCTTCCTGCAGTAGGCAAAGGTCGAGGACGTCCTAAGGCTAAAGACAGATCTTCCCAAGATGACGAAAGGAATAGCAGTTTTTCTAAAGAAGAGCGAGAAGAGAGAAAAAAGCATCGTCCCCGGACTAGATCGGGCCGTATATCGAAACCACCCAATCATTTAGCAAAAGACTATAAAAGGATTCATCCTCTAGATTTAAATGAAGAAGTTTATGATGACAGTGATGGAGGCTATTCTGATTATCACGTGAGTGATGATGAAGTCAAACAGAAAGAAGCTAAAGCAAGTAGCTTGCCCCCAGGTGAATATTTTGTATTTTTGCAACTTTTCAATTATCTGTATGTAGTTAGTTAAAAATAACATTGTAAAAACTTCTGTTCAGCAGTAAAATTTTCTTTGTAAATTGGCGATTTGCATACACATTATAATCTAAAATTTGTCTTCAATTATAACAATACCAGATCAACTTTAATGTCACAGAAAGTAGGTTTGATTTAAACAGTGTATTCAGTGCAGAATAAAAGATGGGAGAGAATTTCTCACCCTTTCTCAAAAACAGGGTGAGATTTCAAAAAGTTAAGTGAGATTTCTAAAAATTAAAAAAATACGAATAGACTTGGAAAAAAATTTTTATCTTTATTTATGATAAATTTTTCACATCTTCTAATATAATATTTTTGCTGCATCATCATATGGAAAATGTTCTATATCTACTTTTTCATCGGCTATTATATTTATTTGGCTGAAAAATATCCGTATTTGTTTCGTTTTGACCGTTTCTACCGACATTTGTTTAATTTTCATTTGTCCGTTATGGAGTAGAAGATGTCGCCTTAACAAGGTATTTATCCATCTTACATTCATGCATAAAAAATGTAAACTTCTTACATGGAGAAACCTTACCTTTGGTGAACACGTGGTTGCAGAGAAATGTGTTCTGAAAGGGTTTCGGAAGGGGGGGGGGTGTTCTGCTGTTCCCACTGGTTCTGAACAATACTGATAAATAGGGAGGCTAGATAACAAGGACCAATGTTCAAAAAAATGAAAGACAAACAGTGTATTCATTGCAGAAAAAAAATGGGAGAGAATTTCTCATCCTTTCTCAAAAACAGGGTGAGATTTCAAAAAGTTAAGTGAGATTTCTAAAAATTAAAAAAACACAAATAGACTTGTAAAAAAATTATTTCTTTAATTATAATACATTTTTCACGTCTTCTAATTGAATATTTTTGCTGCATCATCATATGGAAAATGTTCTATATCTACTTTTTCATCTGCTATTATATTTATTTGGCTGAAAAATATCCGTATTTGCTTCGTTTTGACCGTTTCTACCGACATTTGTTTCATTTTCATTTGTAGAAGATGTCGCCTTAACAAGGTATTTGTCCATCTTACATTCATGCACGAAAAATGCAAACGTCTTACACGAAGAAGCCTTACCTATGGTGAACACGTGGTTGCAGCGAAATGTGTTCTGAAAGGAATTCCGTGGTTCGGGGGGGGGGGGTTCTGATGTTCGCACCGGTTCTGAACAATACTGATAAATACAGAAGGATCGATGTTCAAAATAATGAAAGATCAAGGAAGAAAAGTGAAACGGATTTTATTAAAAATGGCAAAAGACGAAATTTTTTCCAAAATTCGTGCATTTTGAAATTGATTAGTAGAGTGCGTGAACTTCTCGCGTTAATAATTTTTTATTGCGAGAAAAGAAAAAATTATGCGAGATTCTGGCATTCTCGTGCTGTAGTGAAAACACTGTTTAAATTTACTTTTACTAGTCAGCGAAATTTACATTTACTGATATATTAAACAAATAGAGCAAAAAGAACTACTGCAATTTAATTGGAGTTGAAAGTTTAATGAATGTTTAATATCAATTTATTCATAAAAACTTTTCATGGGACATACTTTTATAAAGATTTCTTATTAGTTTTATGTAAGTTTAATTATTTAATATGAATTTAATTATTGTAATTTAATTAATTTGTAAAATTTAAATATAGTATTATTTATAAGTCAGGGTTGTCACAGGCGACCAAAATGCGACTATTTGCAACTATTTTCGGCATGAGGCGACTCTGGCAACTTTTTTTTTTGCCTAAAAAGGCTATAAAAGCAATTATTTTCAGGAAAAAGAGAATATTGGGAAAATTTTCTGTGCTCCTATTGATATTTTTTTAGCATCTGCATCTGATGGGAGCTTCTGAACACAATGATTTTTTTTTTCTTAAATAAGAAATTTTGCAAATTATGAATTGCATATTTGAGTCATCAGTTTTTAAAGCGCTCAATTTGCACAGACCTCATTACAAATAAGAACAAAATAAATTCATTAGAAAAATAAAACATTTATTTAAAAAAATTTTTTTTTTATTAGATTGTCTTTAACTTTTCAATCTAAAGAAATTAATAGAAGTAATTTTTTTTTAATAAATGTAAATAAAAAAGTCCTACTAATTTGTAACATTTGCGTATAATTTATTTTCCCTAGGTGTTACGACAGCTAAGCCACGTAAATATTCTTGTGTGGTATGTGATAAAGCCTATATTGGCCGTGGTGGCTTGTCTCGTCATTATCGTTTAAATCCTGGTCATGGTAGCTTACCTGAAGGTGAAGATGCTAGTACTCAAGGTAATATATTTTTAAAAGAAGTATTTTAAATATTTTTTTAAATGATTTGGAAAGAGAACATGCATTATTAAAAAACAATATTTAATTAAATTGTTAATGGTGTAAGTTCAATAAGATTATTGTTTGCCTTTCAAAAATTTTATTTTCATATTTTTAACCCTTTATATCTCAACAACTCTGATTTTAATAAAAATTACTCATACATTAGAATGCATCATTCTAAGCATTTCTTCAACATTATGCAAAATGACAAAGTGCTTGTTGCATTCCTGCAACATTGTGAAAAATGGCACTAAGATTGAAAGATTCAAAAATTTTAATTCATATCAAAATTTTTAAATCAGTTGTTACTTTTGTTGTAACAAAGTCCTACACCACATTTCTCACAAATAGTTTGTGTAAATCCTTTGCATTTTGGGTATTTGCATCTGACTCTTTTGTTAGCCCAATTTCTTCTTGGCGCACTGGTTTTGGCCGACAATCGCCGAAATCGTCCTTCAAAATTTATTGGGGCAAGACACAGGCTTTTTGTGTATGTTGCAGATATGCAACATGGTGATATAAAGGGTTAAATGACAAATTTTTTTTACAATTTTGTGTCAATTTAATAAAATTTTGGTCTTGTCTTTATCATGATATGCATAAACATGTAAAATGAACATCTTAAAAATGATTTCAAAAGTTCAGTTTGCTTCACATAGAAATGAACCCTTTTCCTTTTTTATAGTTTTACTCCATGACTTATCTCTTGTTTGCTATATTTTATACTATTAGTAGTTACGAATATTTTGATATCTCTGGCAGAATTTAGTACAGATTTTGTGAGCATATATTTTTGCTATTGCAGGTTATACATTAATTTTAACTTAGGTTACAATTTGTGTACTTATCAAGGATTTTGTACTTTTAAAAATTTTAAGGATTTTAGAAATTTTTGGTTTTTTTGTAAAATTTGATATTAGAATCAATAACTTTAGCAGGATATAAAAAGTTTTATCCGATTGCATGTTTTATGTGTATTTTATACATTTTATCTATTTATCTGAATACTGTTAATCCTTTTTTTCTATTATGTTATGATACTTAAGGTTTTTGTGCAGATTTAGCTCGAAAATTTTGATTCTTGGAAAATCAAGTACTGAATCAAGAAGATTGCTGACTATTGTAGATTTTTTTTTAAAATTTTGTTTACAGATTTTAATTCTACTTTATTTTTTACCTTTCAAATAAATTTTACTGTAATTCCTGTATTGACAAAATGAATTATTTGTTTGTAGTTAAAAGCAATCTTAGCAGCATTCTTAATAAATTCGGATAGTTAATCTTTATATAAATGTAATCAAATCTAACCATCACTTGATAATAATGACTCTTGTCACTCCAATGAAAATGGTTGTTAAAATGTGATACCATAAAAATAATCCGAACATAAGTTTTTAACTTTAAAAAACATTATTTGTTGTTAAAAGGTAATATGAATTGATTGCAAAGTTTCATGCTGCGAGAACAAATATGGCTATATGGTACCAAACTCAAAATGCTTTAGAAGATTATTTCTAGTGCTGTGAAAAAATATCTTAGTGATTATGAAAAAGTATCTCTAAAATTTGGTTTCTGTGATCATTATTTTATCCTAAAAGAAGAAAATATGCTATTCAAGTGGTACATCAGATGCATTATTCTTATTATTACGTTATATATGGTGCGTAGCGTTTTTAAAAAGTGCTTAAAGGTGCTTTTTTCATGAGGTGTTTTTAAAAAATGCATAATTTTCCCTTTTCGAAAACGAGATTTTTTTCTTTACCATGTTGATTTTCGCTGTGTCTTATACAAAAGCCTGGTTTTCACATTGTTCTATTTAACATTTTCACAATTCATTCAACTACAATCCATTTTGGCATACCATCAGTTCGTAATGTATGAAGGCGCCAATCTCGTTACATTGATGAAATACTTGAGAGTCCGCATGTCTGTCTACTGAGCTGGATTCGGTGAGATTCTTGCACTTTTATGTGCAACTCAGCTACATTTTGCAAGATATTCTAAATTTCAGGCTTCATTTCCTACACTTTGCAATTGAACTGAAAAATCTCTATATCTTTTTATGGTGGCTAATATAATTAAGAAAAGAGTTCTTTGTCAGAAACTAGTTATTTTATCATGATCATTTAAAGCCTTTGAAAATTATTTTGCATTTTGTTAGTGTATATAGTGTTTAAAAATATTTTTTGAATGCTTAAAAACTATTTTAAAGGTGTTAATTTTTTATTGAGAGATTTGGCTACCTACCCTGTTATAGATTCTTGAAGATTATTTATTCTAATTTTAAAGTTACCTAACTTTAAAATAAGAATAAGATAAGAATGATAAATAAGATTTATGTTTTTAAAAAAGCTATATCTTAGATTAGAATATAATGCAATATGTAAGGAACGATAGTATTCAAAAACTTGCTGAGATTTTAAAATATTCAGTGTTTTCTCAACAACTCTTATCAGTGGTATGACTGTACATGTAATCTTATCAGTGCTAGCGAAATACTATAAGAGGTTGGCTTTAACAAAAATGCTATCTTTTGCTATTGATTACTTTGTATTTTTCATTCAAGTTTTTTGCATATGAAGCAATTATAAGGTCATTAAGGAAAGTTTAATAAATTAAAAGGCTGCTTCACTATCAGATCGATGTGTAAACTGTAATAATTTCAAATAGATAAACTGTACAACCAAAATAATAACTTAGTAAGGCATTTAAAAGTAAAGCATTCTCACAACAGCCTATTATGTGCCAGGAGTTCATGGAGTTACAGCTCCATACTTTTAGTATCAATGGCATGATGGTAGCAAGTGGTCAACACTGCACACTAACTGTGAAAAGGCATCTTATGATTCAAAAAAAGGTTTAACCTGTATTATAAAGAAGCAAGTGTTACTGAAGAAATTTTATAATTTTTAAAAAATCCTACTGAATTTTTTTAAAGTTTAAATTTTTTTTGTTATTAATTTATGATAAAATCAAAGCAGGTTTTTAGTTTTTTAAGGGAATAGATTAAGGTCTGTATACTTTAGAAAGTTTTCCTTAAACTGAGAATGAGTTATGATAGTTGGTGAAAAATATTCATAACTATCATGTATATTTCAATGAATATTTTTTCAAACTATCATGTAATATGTTCAATTCTCACATAATAATGTCTTTTAGATGAAAATTCAAACAGCTCAATGGCTTCATCTATTTTAAGTAATTCCGGCAGCAACACAAATAATCAAAGTATTCCAGTAATTCCAACTCCAAGCAGCACAAAACAAGGGCCTTCGATACTACAAGAAGCTCTGACACAAGATAGTTTCCCTTCGGAACAACAGAAGCCTCAAGCACCAGTAAATGAGATAACTCCCCCTATCGATAGAAGAAAATCTAAATTAAAAGAAGTATGAGTAACCTATTTCTACTAATTTATTTTCATTATTTATTTTTTTAAGCATATCATATTAAGTAATACAATATAATTATTTGTATCTACTTTGTTGATAAGTCTTCGTCAGTTAATTATTTTTATTTTTTTTTAAAAAGAAAAAAAGATATTGGTCATTTGAACCACTAAGCATCAATATGTACTGTTTCATAGACAACATTACTGGTCCACTTTTTCACTTATTCTTTCAATGAAATGTATAATTTACAAATTTTCATAATATTTCTTATATTAGTTTTAATAGTATTAATTTAAAATTTAATTTGCTTGTAAACACTATTGCTTAAATAGTCTTATAAAACATATGAAATTAAATTAAATGCATTGAATAAACCTAAATGAAATCTATAAAGTTTTATAAATGTGTTTATCAAATTTAAGTTATTTTAAAATCCAAAATTTAAATAAATAATAGAAAATGGGCCTCCTAGATCAACTAAGGAATGATGGAAGAGACAGGCAGAACTAGGAAATTTGAAAATTCCTTATGTGAACTTTATTTATTTCACAGACAAAGAAAATTAGTTTCTGGAATTTTAAATTATTCTTTATAATTTAAAAATGAATCCTTCTTGAAAGCAATTTTTCTTGTGTTCCACGTATTCTCAGAAAGTATTTCATGATTTTTAGAAAACAAAAATTGTAATGATCCTTATAATTAAAAAAAAATTATATCTTTCTTTTTATAAAGATAATTGGAAATTAAACTGTTTGATTATAAGTAAATAAATCTTAAGGTTTATAAAGGCATTTTATTATTTGTGAAGTTTTAAAATTGATCATGTATTAGAAAAATGTTAATCAGCATCAATATTTTTTCTCCATCTTCAGATTTTGAAAGGCTACTCTACTTCTGAATTAGTTGATGTTCTATTGCCTAAATTTGCTGAAGAGGTTTCAACTTGGAAGTTTTTTACTACTAAATGCCATAGAGAAACAGAGGGTGAAACTCTATTTGAAATGCTAAAAGAATTTGAGAAATTCCTTACTCCTATGCAAAGAGTGTCTTGTTCTTGTTTGTCTCGAGCATCTGAAGCAGATCGTGGAAAAACAATTATCAATGTATGATAATGTTTTTATTTTCATAAATTTTTTTAATATCCATCTCACATTCAATATTAAGAAAACTGCTTTTATTTTATTGCAACACAAGGATTCAGTTGCTAAATGTTATGAAGCATTGTTATTCAAAATTAGTTGTTATTTCTAAAGACATTTGCAGAAGCCAAGTCCGCCAAGCGCTTCTTTAAATTATTGACCTTTTGTGAATCAAGTTAGGAAGGTGCACCGTTTAACAACTGCTGGGTGAAGTGTGTCTTAGGAACCCCGGAGATAGATGGCAGCACCACTCATTTGAGAGGCCACTTCCTCAATTCAGACGATTCTGAATGGGAAATTTTTTTTCTCCAGATCCCTGTACAGATCGTACAACTCAGCTTTTGATTCCTCAGATTTTATGAGCACGTATATTGCATGTACTTGGTAAGTTTTAGTGACTCCTTCAGATCGGAAACTCCGCTCCCCGAATTGGAGTTCGATTTTCTAATCACTGGGCTACCAGGGCCCTTCAGAATTAATAAAGCATGGAGATAAAAATTAGAGGAATAGGCATAACCTCTCAAGTGAGTGAATAGTACTGGAACCACCAAAATGTTATGCATCAGAAACATTACAATGAAAGCAAGTGTGATTAAAGTATTATTGAACAAGTATTGTATTGATACCGTGTACTGCATTTAATCAAATTAAAAAAATTCAATAATTAATTTACCACTGAAATCTGTAAAATTTAAAGACTTTGAAGAATAAATTAATGACATATAGTTAATGTAAGATCCTTTCCCTAGAAATCTTAATTAAAAAAAAAGTCATTTAGAACCTTCTTCAAAGCTCTTTGTGAGAGAAGATGCATTGTTCTAATGAAGGAGAATTATATTATCTTTCTGTTGCTTCTAAATAAAAGAAATATCAGTTATTTAATAATAATTTACATTTTTATCTTGCTCTCAGTCTTTCCTTACCTGCTTTGATTGTAATTTCTTATAATGTGAATTTTTCATAATTAGTTCAAATGCTATTCTAATTGCAAGCAATGTATTTGGGCTCAAAAACTATATTGCACGTCATGCCAGCGCCATGTAAAAACTGTGATCGAGCATGCTTTTTTTATCCTCTTGTGCCTGACTGTGCATGTAAATAATTAAAAACATATAACAAATGTAAAAATTAAGTTCCTCATATATAATAATATTTTTTATAATAATGAAAGTATATTATTATTATAAAAATTGTTAAAAGATCTGATGGAACAGAAAAGCAGTACCAAAAAGGAGAAAAAAAAAGAAAATTGTCATTAATAATAGTATTTCTTTGTTAATAGTGTTTACTCTATCAATACTTGATCATTAATAATACTTTCTTTTATGAATACTTTTGATTTATGCTGATGATTAAAAATATTATGCAGATATAATGTTGTTGTAGGTATATTGCTGTTGGCATAGTTTTTTCCCATCAGAATTTAATGGGTACATTTATATATTTACATGTATAAGCAATCACAAAAGATATTTTGGCATGTAAAAGTTTCATTCAGGCATGTTTTTTGTAGATTATCATGCCTGATGGTGCATGTAAAAATTTTGAGATTTTTTTAGCGCTCTGCACTGTATTACAAACTTTGTTTTAATAAATGTATTTGTATTTTTAGATAACTAGTCAACGTCTTGCTGAAGTTCTAACTCTTGAAAAAGGATCATACACTGTTAATAGTACAGAAATGGTAGTAACAAACTTAAAATCAATTGATTTTCGTCTTTCAAATACTGTGCCCTTGTCAAGTGCGGAATCCGAAGTACCGAATCACCCATTGCATAGTTTCCCCAAACGAAAGCGATTGGATCCCAGTGTTGTTGATGTGAATGCTGGCTTACCCGAACAGATATTGAGTGATGCCCAAGAAAGCAATTGTCTGGATTTACCTATGTCTGAAGAATCATTTTCAGAAACTGCTGATTTTCATCATCAACAAACTAATCTCTTAAATGTTTGTGTTGCTAAAGGAGCAATACAAAATGATTTAAATCACAAAAACTTATTTGATCTCAATAGTTCTACCATTGTAACTCCTAGCTCTTTATCATCTGGGTGTTTAAGTGCAGTAAATTCATCTGATTTACAAAAAGGGATTCAGCTACAAAACATGCAGGTTAGAAAAATTCGATTATTGAATGCAGCACTGCAAAATCAGACATTTTCAACTGCAGCTAATGCAATGGCTCTTAATGGGCTTGCTTTATCATCTAATAGTATTCTTGGTGGTTTGACCAGTCAAACACAAGTAAAAGATAGTGTGGCAGTCCAACATCAGGAGGATTTAGTGAGCAGTAGTTCTGCTATAGAAAATAAAGCCTTTCGTGCTATAGGCTTAGAATCAGCCGCTGGTATTTTTAATTCTTGTCCAGAGTTGTCTCAAGCAAATTTAATAGATACTCATCAATCATCTTCAAATGCTGAGCCTAATGCTTCGTTTGTAAATTCTTTTCATATAAACAATAGCTGCTTGCCTGCAGATTCTCATAAAGTTTCAGTTCAGTCAGATGTCCAAGAAAACTTAGCTAATTGCCTAGTTGTTGCAGATATTGCCCATTCCTTGGAAAATCCTAATACTTCCATTAGTGAAAGTGATATTCAAACATGTGTATCTGCTGGTATAATTCCTGCTAGTTCCCATCCAGTGGAAAGACAGTTTCAGGTATATTTTTTTTTCATTTTATTTAAGACTGGTTTTACTTAAGATGTTTCATTCCTTGTGATAGAATTCAGCTTTCAAAGGAATGTGGACAGAGGGGAAAAGTTAAACATGCTTTTATTATTAATATTTAATTTTCACGAATAAATTGATAATTGTATTTTTTTTTGGCTAGTTTTTTATTCTGGGCACATCTCAAAATGCATGTTTGAGAAAATAGACCCAGCTTAAAATGCATGTTTAGGATAATGAACGTAGCTTAAACATGTTTAAGAAAATTGGCAGAGCTCAATATGTGCTTCTTTAAGAAAATGGATGAAGCTTAAAATGCCTGTTTAGGAAAATGGACGTGGCTCAAAATGCATGTGTAAGGAAATGGTCACTGGTATAATGAACATGGCATATGATTCCATTTTTCAAATTTCTCTTATGATTTTTTTAAAGAAAAAACTAATGAATCTAAATAAGTTAGTTCATGATTTACATGTCGTGTATTTGCCTAAATCACTTGGTACTTTTTTTAAAAACTGGTCTTTTTTTTCTTGAAAGATTTTTAAAATCAACAGTTGATTTTACAAGGTTGTCACAGGTCCTATAAATTTGTAATAAATTAAACTCAGTGGCATGACAGCCCATGGAGGACCAAAACTTCTGTGCTGATTCCAGTTTTCTTGACCTCAGGCTGTAGGGTGCAAGAGCAGATGTTCCAGTTGGGTGTTCAGTAGAACACGGAACACCCAGTGTTTAGTCTCCAAGCATGTTTGGCTTGGTACTCATTTTATTGACCCACTGAAGAGATGAAAGGCCGAATCAACCATGGAGGTCCGTGGATAGAATCCTTGACCTGAGGCACTTGAGGGTGAAGCACTACCACTTAGGCATTGGGCCAAATTTGTAATAGTGAAATTAAATTAACGTTATTTTTTTAAAAAGCCACTTAATAATAAAAAACACGTTTAAAATTTGCTTTGTTTAAAAAAATGCCTTTTTTTCTAAAAGAATATTATTAGAAAAAAAAGGAGAAACAAAATTATTAGTATAGCTTCCAGTTTTAAAACACACCACATAAGCCATGGCTCAAAATATAAAAATTTTTATGACCTATATTTTATACATATTTTGCTAAAAGCAGGGTTGGAGTTTTTGCCGGCAAAAAGGGGTTTTTGCCAGGACAGTGGCAAAAACCTGGTAAAAACCGGCAAAAACTGGTAAAAACCGGCAAAAACCAAATTATCTAAATTGCTGATTAAATATTATTACAAAATACTTGAAACAAATTTAAATCAATCATAAGGAATAATAATTTTGATACATTACATGAAAAAATTATTTTTAACATATTAATAATTAATATAAGGGTAATAATTTTTAAAAGATTGAAAGTTTTTGATCTCTTTTCATTTTAGAATCCTAAAATAAATGTTTTTTTACAAATAAATAAATATTATTATTTGTATAATATTATTATTTATTATAAAAAATTATTATTTGTACAATAATTAACTACACATGTTGATAGATATTTTATGCTTTAAATTATAGTTATATTAATTTAAAATAAGTTCATTTCACTGGAAAAAAGAGAATAATCACAAATTTTCCAATCAATAATGTTTTAAACTACTAAAATGATATATTATTACATTATCATTTAATTATGGAATAATAATTTTGTTAATTTTTTTGTAATTATTTATATTTATAGTATATATTTCAATTTTAGGAATAATTTTGTATCAAAAATGTGTTTTTGTCCTCTCATCTTGGAAAATATAGGTTTTTGCCACTTTTTGCCAATTTGCTTGGCAAAAACCTGTTTTTGCCAGGACGGTTTTTACCGGTATTTACCATGGTTTTTTCCACCTGCGGCAAAATCTTGCCAACCCTGGCTAAAAGTGTTTTAAATTGATACATAATGGCTACTTGAGTTTAACTTTAGTTATAAATAACATTTCAAAAAGCATATATTTTTTATTTACAAGTATTTTATTAAAACCATGTCTAATTCAAACTGATAAAATTTAAAGTTTTGATATCTGCTGAGTTTTGCTATCATAATAATTTTTAAATGAAATTAAAATTTTTATCATAGACTGATTAATATATATAGAATTAAATTAAAATTGGAAAAGAGTAGTACAATAAAATAAACGAAACATAAATGTGATACAGTACTTCTTCAACGTGCCCCCTGCAGGCATTTATGTTGGAGCTTTTCTGTAAATAGCTGTTTAACAAAACAAAACTGCTATTTGTGTCCCAAAGGTCACAGGTTAAGCTTTAGTGCTTCCTCAGGTTTGACTTCGATTTTTTTAATTTTGTTTTTAAGCTACTCATTCAAATTATTTAAGGGTATTATCATTTTGAGTTTGATTTAATTTTTATCATAGGTTACTTCAACTGATATTGTTTCTTCTGACAATGTGAAGTCCCCAGAGCAGGCTGTACTTAGACAATTAATGCTTCCTGATGGACGCATAATTGGTGTTTGGTCATCTGTAGATAATGCAGATAAGGCATCAAATGAACAGATTTTACAAGGCTTTTTGCCTGGCAATTTAATTCTAGTACAAAATTCAGATGGATCTATTCAAGTGCCTCAAAATCAAGGTGCTGCCTTGGAAACTTTGCAAGCCTTAACCTCAGCAGATTCAGCAGCATCTGACGAAGCAAGGTCTATCGCACACACCTCTGTTAATATGTAAGACTGTGTAACATTGGTTGTATTGTTATTGTGTCACATTGTATATGTTTATTTATTTATTTGTTATATGTTGTGAGATTTTTATGAAGTGTTTTTAAAAATGTATATAATTTGTTTTTAAGCGACAAAGTTTTAAAGTACTTTGTAAATATTTATTTGTAATATATTGTATAATAATGCCTCATTTTGGTGAAAAGTAGTACAAATGTTTGTAGTTCAAGCTAAAGAGTTTCTTCAACTGAAAAAATATTGCTTTATTTTCTGTTACATTATGCTATTTTCATTTATAAAAGTTGCACTGCAATATTCTTTTATTTTTCTATTGAATTTTCTGTCACATTTACTTGTAAAAATGTTATTTATTTAATTAGTGTATTAATTGTTTTAATTTTTATTATTAGATGCAAAAATTACTTGCTTCTGTGCATTTTGAAGGGAAGTTTTCTAAATTTTTAAATTGTGTGAAATTGCATTGTTATTTATGTTGACGTGAATACTATTTACGTGAATACTAGTGTAAGTTTTAACTTAGAAGATAATTTTATATGGTATACTTTCATTAACTGATTTTAAAAATAGTATCATAATACTGATCAAAAATTACGAGCTTACATAGTTTGAACTCAACTTTTTGATGTCAGTTTAGTTTTAGTACTGTAGATTTTATTATTATTTTTCATGAATTCATTTATATTTCATTTTGAGATTCATATTCAAAATACAAATGCCATAAAGTTAATGTTTTTTCCAAACAATTTTTAATATCGGATCATTATATAGTTTTAAAAAAGTTGCAATTTATTTTAAACCTTTTATGCTATTTTTACATAGTATAGTTTTTGGTATTTATTTCTTTTTATTGTAACATCGAGTTTATAAATTTATTTTACATTTAAGTAGTAAATCTATCAATAGTTCAGTAATAATAATGTGGGATTTTGAAATCCTTCTATTTGAAAAATTTTTATTGTGCAAACTTTCATGTTTACTAGAAGAATCATTTTTGTTATTTGTTAAAATTTTTTTCTTTTCCCCAAATAACATACACACAATGATAATATACATAAGGAAAAAATTCTAACATAATGTCATTCTTATTTCTTTGCTGAAATATTGTGTATTTTTATGAATCATAATATAAGGCCAAATCATTTTCATCTCCCTTATTAAAAAATCTACCTTAGAAATATACATATGATAATCCAACTCGAATTCACCACCTTACTAATTGCAATAAAATCTTAAATTCGGAGAAAGAAATAGTGTTTTGGTAAACGAATTTTTTTCTATGAAAAAGGAAAATATACATTCTCCTAGATCTTGGAAATTACGTCAATAGGAATATTTTTGAACAAATATTTTTTTAATTTTGTTCAAAGACAGTAATTTCCTTCAGATATGTCGCATAACTAATTAGAATTATATTAAGTTCAGATAATGTAAGTAACAAGAAAGATTTATGTAGATGTAAACAAAGGGAGAGAAACTTAAAATAAAGATTAACACATTCGTTGCCGAGTCACGTGATATAGCGTGACGAAACTCTTTCCGACAGTTTGTGTCAATAAAGCAGATTAAATAGTAACTAGATGCATATTATCATCCAACTATGTTTGCAAAAATTAAGTTTTCTCATGACAATTACATATTGTTTATGAAAATAAATTTATTGTATAACTTAAAAACTAAAATGGTTGCTAAAATAAGAAAATCTAACTTTGATTTTTTAATGATTACAATAGCATGAGTAAAAGACAAGTGGATGAGTAAAAGATAAGGGAGACAAAAGAAATTCTTTTTATAAAAAAATAAACGACTTGAAAAGAATGAAACGTTTTATTTAAAATGAAATATATTTATTTAAAAGATAGTCAAAGTATATAAAAACATGAATAATTGCTTCAGGTTTATCGTTATATTGCTGCTCTAGTCTAAGAAGTTATCAAAAATTAACGCCAACCTATTTTTATTTCTTTTCCTCTAAGATGATGAAGCATCTACATTTTTAATCCTCTTCCCCAACTGTAAAATTACTATTTGAATTTGCATTTCTAAAATAGCTCAATTTATAGTAAATTTGTATTTTGACTTAAAGTTTCCTGTGGGAAAAAGAATTAATTATTAAAATTTGTTAATATTTGCCTTTTGAAGCTAATACTTTTAAAATTTGGCTAACATTTTTGATATTTGGCTAATTTACTGGCTAATAATTTGAGGTCCTTAGGACGGGCCCTGCATATGTTTATTAAATAAGTGTTAAATACTAAAAAAAAAAGGAAAAACAAATATTTGGAAACAAATTGCCAATATTTTTTTAGACATGAAAGAATAAAATTATTTCTGCTGCATTATTAATGTATATTAATATTACTTTGTAATCAGTACATTAATATTGATTTTACTGGACATTATAATCAGTACATAATTATCCATTTTACTTTTATAAATTAAGCCAAATATTTAAAGGGGAAAATTATAAAAATTATAAAAATTGAAAGGGGAATTAGTTTTGATCTTTTATTTTTTTAAAATGAAGTATGTGTTGTTTATTTAGTTATTTGGGAAAAAAGCTTTCACTTTATAAATTTGTATTAAAAAAAATTGCATTTGACCTCATCTGTGTAAAGCAATTTATCCTAGATCACAAATCTTAAAAATTATTTTAAACTTATTTGAATTTATTTCAAAAAATAACTATCCCTGTTTTTTCAGTGAAATAATTTTTAGCATAATTTTGTCGTGTCTTTATTTTTAATGTATTTATACTGCTGGTGATAGTTGCTATTGATTGCAACTTTAAGAAGTTTCTACATTTGTTATTTATAGTTAGAGGAATGTTTTATTAAAAAAAAATATTTTATTTATCTTCCGTTACTTAATATTGCACCCTTGTACTTTTTAATCAACATTTTATTCTGACTGTTATATTTGTTTATTCTACCAACTTAGTGAATTAACCTTTTTGCTGCACATGTTTCCAAATGTTTATACTGTTAAACAAAATTATGCTTAACTTTAATTTAATAATAATAAGAATAAATGTTTGTAATTTTTCCTGATTTGTTATTATGAGGTGGACAGTTGTTTGTGAGAGCAATTACCCTAATCTTCCTGTTAGAATTCTAGTTATCCTATGCATCTTCACACCTTTGTTTTCTGCTGAAACAGGGTTGAAGCTTCATCATTCCAGATATGTAGTAGAAATCAATGGTTGTACCGAAAATTGAGTGTAGGCTTGACAGTATAGGGTAAAATTAATGGTTGCCAGTTCTTACTGAATATAAATGGTAAAAAATCAGTTTTCTGTCCAGTAAAGCAAACTTGTCAAGCCTAAAATGGAGGGTATCAGCTTAAAGATTGTCTTCTTGTCTTGTGGTCAAACAAAATTTAAAGAACTAGTTCCATATGCTTTAATCTATCATAAACTGAATTCTATCACATTCAGTACAGCTCTCTAATTCAATTTATTTTTAATAAATAATAAAAACAGTTTTCTTACTGAATAAAATGGTAAAAAATCAGTTTTCTGTCCTGTAAAGCAAACTTGTCAAGCCTAAAATGGAGGGTATCAGCTTAAGGATTGTCTTCTTGTTTTGTGGTCAAACAAAATTTAAAGAACTAGTTCCATATGCTTTATTCTATCATAAACCGAATTCTATCACATTCAGTACAGCACTCTAATTCAATTTATTTTTAATAAATAATAAATTTTCAATGGAAATACCTATTAAAAATTTAATGTATAAATGTTATGCTACTGAAAAAAAAATTATCCTATATGCAAAACAGTATAAAAGTTTCTTAACAAACAGTCTTCATTGACCAAATCAAACTTACTGTTTGGCTAGTAGCACTACCCAGATGGTTAACTTGAATCTAAATTTGTCTGTGATATTCTGTTGTAATTAATTGTAATATGATTTAAATTATATTAACAGTACTACGTCAGTGATTTTGTTATATTGTGCTTTTAAGGGGATTGGAAAAGCAAGGTATAGACGTATCATGGGTATAGCATCTTTCAAATGCTATACGTCATGGTTGAGGATAATGACTGCCTCATTATCCTCAACCATGAAATGAAATAAAGAACCGGCCACGAAGCGAGAGGGATGTCTTTAGGAGTTCACCTGAAAGCCGCTCTATACCTTATTGCACTATAAAATTAATAACTGATTACAACTATATTCTTTACCTCTTTTTCAACTGTATGAAATCGATCAAGTAAATTATCCTTGATGCAGGATGATCAGTGGCTTCATGTCCTTGCCGTCAATTTCCATCTCTATCCAGAAATAGTTTGTTTTTGTTTAGGTATTATAGTATGAAGGGAATTTTTATATTTTAAATTAAATTGATTAGAAAATGCTATTAATATTTTACTAAAAAAATATAGCCCCCCCCCTGTGAAATTTTTGAAAAAATACTGTTTAAACTTTTGGTGGATATGAAAAGGGTGATAATATTTGAAGTACTTTATAATTCAGTGTTCCTCAATCTAAATATTGTGGCTTACCAGTGTACTATGCAAGATGGTCACTGTAAGAACTCTTGACAATAATTAAGGAAGCTTGGGTTTGGTAATTTATACAAATGCTGATTTTAAAATATTTGATTTGATGAAAATTTCCATTTCAACACGTTTTTATTTTAATTGATAATGTTGGAAAAAAAAATTCCGCAAAATTTTATTTATCAAACTTGGGGGTCATCTACTAATTATGTGAACAATTCAATCAAATAATATTCTTACTTTCGAGATTCATTGTTTCAAAAATTTTGACTATTCAATCATTTTATGAAAAAGAAAACTCTCTGTTTTACAATAACAAATTATCATCATGATGAATTCTTTTCATTTATTATTTTCAGCAAATTCAGTCTCATAGGGAGGAATTTTGTAGTTTCACAATTATTGATTTATCTCTTTCATCTGATTTTAAAAATGATTCTAAACAACAGTTAGTAATCAAATATAGAATTTTTTCAATGGTAAGTTTAGGGATCATCCACTAAATTACTTTTTTACGAAAATATAAGCAGCATATTTACTGTATTTTCGTTTCAAGGTTATTGAAAAAAGCTTTAGAATTATTACTTTAAAATTATGTAACTAAAAAAACCTTTATTATTTAACTGAAAAAAACTTTAAAATTATTTAACTAAGGAAAACTAAAAAACTCTATTACAAATTTGGCTGAATATTAACTTATTGCTACCATTATTTTTTGTTGCAACAGCACTATGAAAAATTTTCAATATAAATTGATCATAACATAACCAGTTATGAATCAATCAGTGCTCCACTAATAAAATTATTCTGGAAAGTTTTCCGACTTACTGTTATAAACAAAGTAATTCTGAAATTAAAAATAGTTTTCATTGCAATAAAATTTGCATTTTATTATACTTAACCAGAGCAAATTTTACTTTTTTTTAAAAAATTTTTTTTTTTTAAGAGTAGCCTAGCATATTCCTACTGCATCAAATATTGTCTTGATTTTTTGAAAAATGTCCTGATTTATTTCTTTAGACCACTATATGAAGCCTGATTTACTTTATGGCATTCGAATACTTTATTTAAAAGTCTGGCTATCTTAAATACATATGAAATGCGTTAAATTAAAAAAATAAAATTATTGTGTAGTGTTTTAAAGTGCTGGTGCATTTCACAGTTTTTCCTCTCTTATTCCCATCTTTAAAAAAGAGAATCATTTTTAAGATCTGTTCCAGTTAAA